TGGACAGTCGGACTCATCCGCGGACGTGTACCAAACCTCCCCCAAGCTATCTATGAATATACAAGCTACACGGCCGGCCTTTCGTTCAGTCCCAACGATGGTGGTCGACGCTCGAGTTCCAGCCACCTAGTGCTCCGTCGCTCCTTAGTTCATACCACCATCTTCCAAGGGAACTCCAAACGTCCAGACCCTGTCGGGCACCACGGGATGTCACCCACTCCAGAGGGTGTCTCACATCCCGGCATGCTCTTGTTTGCTCTCAGACGTTGCAAGGATCAATCATCTAGAAGACCTCAAAAAATTGAGCTCACCTCCATCCAAGAGATGTCTGACATGACTGTTTTTCAACTAGACGGGTAGGGAAGAGCGAAATTCTGTTATTTACGTCGCATTCTGATTATTGACTATAGCTCATATCTCTATCAACGTTCAAATTATCCACCATTTGTTTTGTAAATCCTTCTGCTTTATCGTACGAATGATTGAACAGTTGCAACTTCTTGCCTGCGAGGGTATAATCAGTTGCTTGATACACGGATAGATAAGAGATAGACGCCGTGTGTAGCTGTTGTGTCGAAGCCATATATATAAGAGGTATTTGTGCGCTATCATATCTTGCCACGATCTCTTTCTGTACCACAGTACAGCTTTCACAATAAACCAAATCACCTCTACCCCCAGGACGCACATCAAGACCTTCCAATGGCGACCATCGATGCCCAGGAGATCAGAGAAAGCATCAGGCGCTTTCGAGTTCTGATCATAGGGAGAGCAAACGCAGGCAAAACAACCATTCTTCAGAAAGTCTGCAACACCACAGATCAACCAGAAATTTACGATGCCAAAAGAAAAAAGGTGCGGGTGATGATCTATGCCATGCGCGAGTCTATCGATGATCAAGTGTGAGTAGACCGATGCTGCCGTCGTGAATGCCACGATCAAGGTGCGCGCATCATCTGCCCTGCGGGCATAGTACATGTGCTGACGGATGCTCAGCGTGGGAACCATAACATCACGAACGCGATGGTGTTTAAGAGCAATACCGGTTTCCTTTTTCACGACTCATGCGGTTTCGAGGCGGGTTCCGAAGAAGAATTCGAGGACATGAAGAAATTTATCTCACAGCGTGTGCACGCGACGAAATTGGAAGAGCGGATACATGCCATCTGGCAGGTTAACTCCCTTTCGACGTTCTGCGTTTGTTGATTGCCACCAGGTATTGTATTCCAATGGACGAATGCAGTCGGACATTCCAGCGGTCGGAGGAGAAATTCTTCTTTGAGTGTGACACTGGGCACGGTGAGCTTGTCACTTTGTTGTCACCTGTCGTGCCAGGACTAACAATCGATCTTCAGTTCCCGTGATTGCGGTGTTCACCAAGTTCGAGGCTCTGCGTCCAGTGGCGTATGGAGAAATCAAGAAGGAAATAAAAGGTGTATCTGCAGAAGAACGCTCAAAAAGGATTGCCCAACGCGTCGAAGAACTGTTTGCTAAGACAGGCGTCTGTGATCGGTTGTACGACCCTGAAAATCGTACACGTCCCAAGTTTCATGTGCGCTTGGAGAGTAAGTGGTTTGGATTGAGTTATCTTTTGTCAAAGTTGATATTAATGACTGTACTAGATATGAACAGACCGAATACAAACTGTGACACTCTACTAGAACGCACGACTTTCGCATTGGACAACGACGAGTTGCGGTTGTGCTTGGTGTCGACACAACAATCAAATTTGGACCTTTGTATCAAGTGTGCTGTCGCGTGAGTCGCAAATTTTCAAATCACATATTTGTGTTCCAACATCATCTAGAACAATCGTTGATCGCGCACATCAGCAATCCGGGCTACGTCGGGTCGATCATGAAGTCTATCAGTATTACATTGCTAAGTGGTTTCCACATCTCAAAGTAAGACAAAGATTCATTCTGTATGACAATACCCCTGCAATGGTGCTCATAAATGGTAAACATTGAAGTGCTGAAAAAATGAAGACATTCTGATATATATTTCCTTGATTGTAATTGCCCATCGATAACAGCTGGTAAGATTGTGGGTCACGAATATCGACCAGTATGGACAACGCTAATGCCTTGTGGCTGCTCGCCTGTTGACAGTTGGTAAGTGTCTTGATTGTTTCTAGTCCTCGGCCCGTGCTGATGATCCCCATCCCTCGCTGCTGCTCCCCTGTTGACAGCGTGTAAGTGCCTTGATTGTTTCTAATCCTCGACCCGTAGTCATGATCCTCATCCCTCGCTGCTGCTCGCCTGTTAACAGTATGTAAGTGCCTTGATTGTTTCTAGTCCTCGACCTGTGCTCATGATCCCCATCTCTCGCTGCTGCTCGCCTGTGGACAGGATGTCAGTGCCTTGATTGTTTCTTGTCCTCGACCCGTGCTCATCATCCCCATCCTTCGCTGCTGCTCGCCTGTTAACAGTATGTAAGTGCCTTTATTTTTTCTGGTCCTCGACCGTGCTGATGATCCCCATCCCTCGCTGCTGCTCGCCTGTTGACAGTCTGTAAGTGCTTTGATTGTTTCTAGTCCTCGACCTGTGCTTATGACCCTCATCTCTCGCTGCTGCTCGCCTGTTGACAGTTTGTAAGTGCCTTGATTGTTTCTAGTCCTCGACCTGTGCTCATGATCCCCATCTCTCGCTGGTGCCCATCTGTTGACAGAATGTAAGTGCCTTGATTGTTTTTTCTAGTCCTCGACCTGTGCTGATGATCCCCATCCCTCGCTGTTGCTCGCCTGTTGACAGTTTGTGAGTGCCTTGATTGTTTCTAGTCCTCGATCCGTGTTAATGATCTCCATCTCTCACTACTGCTCGCCTGTTGACAGTTTGTAAGTACCTTGATTGTTTCCAGTCTCCTGCCTGTGCTCATGATCCCCATCTCCCGTTGCTGCGCGCCTGTTGACAGCGGGTGAGTGCCTTGATTGTTTCTAGTCCTTGACCCGTGCTCACGGTTCCCATTCCTCGCTGCTGCTCGCCTGTCGACAGGCGGTAAGTGCCTTGATTATCTCTAGTCCCTATTATCCTGATGCCTTGTTGCTGCCCATCTATTGACAGAATGTATCTACCTTTCGCTGTTTGTCATCCTCAACCCATGTTGACAATCAACTGTTGATAGGAGGTAAGTGCCGGATGGTTTTCTCCCTACAACCCATGTGAACAGCTCTCACATCTTTCTGTTGTTTTTTTGGCAGTTGGTAGGTGTCTTGATCATATCCTGTATTCAAATGATACTGAATAATATCATATTGGTGACTCGTTTTATAGCCTGATATAAGCATTTTCTGTTCTAGTCAGATCATCATTACTCATGTAATCCGTAGTTTGTTAAGCATCCCTCCTTGATAATTTATTTTCCATGTTCGCTCATCCTGCATATTTTATTGCCCTGTGCAGAATGTGAGTCATCTAACTCTCATAATGTGAACCGTGTCAATCATTTCGACTGATACTTTCACTCTATAGGATGTGAGTGTGTTTCAATCGCTAAGGATTCTAGCCGCATCATTCCTCGTGTGTATTGTGTTCGCAGAATGTGTGTTAATCATATCATGTCTGATATGATAGTACTCTGCTGATATGCAATCTTATTTAGCTCGTACGTCCATGGATGCCAAATCTTCACTATTACATAGTGACGCTCATCTGGTTTCAACTCCTGACAGTTTGTAAGTCACCTGAACGCAGCAGTCATTGTCTACAATTTGGTGGTTAATGATTCGCAACCGTCACGTCAACCAAATAGAACGTGCGTCTCTGTATATTAATTTGCCACCTCATAATTCTGACATTCCTTTTCTGTAGAAGGCACGTACTTTGCTCTGTGGAGTTGATGCTTATACCGACACTTTCAACCTGTGGCTAGGCCGAAATCAGGCTACATGATATTCTCATCGTTCTTCAGCCTTTGGTAGGTTGGTTTTCCTTTGCATTGATTCTCGGTACTTAAGAGTGTGCCACAGGTCGCGAAGGGATCGATGTTCACTTCTGGGGTGAACATAATTGTCCAGACTGGCATCGGTTAGTTTCTCACTGCATGACCAGTTGTGGTCTTAATGACAACGAGCAGCTACTATTATCGTACTCGAGTACTCCGCCTTTTTCGCGAACGACTCGGAGGACTTGGAGTTCATGGAGTGTGCCGTGGACTACTACCTGAAATCTCCGACAGCTGTCGTAGTGGAGCAAGGAGCGAAAGAGATTTCTGGTCAAGGCTACGACGGAGAGGAACTAGAGAAGAAGATTCTTGAATTCATCCTTGAAAATCGCTTGTGTACGTCCCTCGCATTGCTGTGAACCTGAAAGTCGAAGCTTACTGATGACCTGCAGCAAAGGACTTGAAAGTAAAAAGTAGATGATACTTGAGCCGAGTTTCCTGTTTTTCCCATTCTATGCGGTCGTGTTGTGTACGACACCAAGCAGGTCAGCTTCGACTCTTGAGTACTTGAGTGCTGAGTGGTGCAGACTGATATTTCCTTGTTTTCGATGTTCTTTCCCATGCTGTGTACTATACTTGGCAGTCTAGTTTCAACTGCAGCTGGGCGCTGCAGAATACGTCGGGTTTCAACACCCGTTTTCCGGATCTTATCATACCGCGTTCTGTTTTGTGCTATGTAGTCGCGCCCGCCAAATGATCGTTATTCATTCTTATTTTCAATCTTGAGAGCATGAGAATTCGAGACCTGGTTCGGTATGCTTCAATGCTGAAGAGGACGGACATGGTGACTGACAACATCGTCGATGCTCATCAGGACCGCACGCAGCCCGGCCGGGGGAGTAAGTCACGTACATGAAAATCCGCGAGAGCGTGGTAGACTTAGAACCGCTACAAATCATCCAGAAGGCAATCAAATTGGTATGAACTACACTGATATTGAGGAATGCGGTTTTGCCTTTCTCCGTGACCATTACATAGATGATAAATCAACAAGTCCAGTACACTTGTAAATACAGAAAAAACCCTAGAGCTCCAGTAGAACGCAAACAGTCAACGGCTCAAACCTCTGTCGCTATCACAGACATCCCCATACCATCAATATGATACTGCTCGCCGACCAGCTCTTTGACAGCAACCATCAGACGATCGAGTCGAGTGATAATTCCAAAGGTGGTAGAAACGCCAACGCAAATGTTCTGAAAACGAAGTATGTACAACTCTAGAATGCACAAGAGATGAGAGACTTACAAGTACTGCAGATTCTCCAACGTGTCCACGGTGAGCGTCCGTGGCAATCCATAATCGTCTTCCGACTCTTCATGCACCACGTTCAAACCATGACGCCTGAGCATGAACCTGTCGAGTAATGGGCATGGGGTGATTTGAGGCAGAGGAGAGCCCGTGTGCAGTGCATTGGAGATCAGACCTGGGAAGGGAACATCAGGTTATCGCAGATAAGAGACCATGATCCGAGAGCATACTGATGACAGCGAGTACATCGCCCTGGAAATCCGAATCAAGCATCCGGGTCCGGCGAAGGAAGGCATGAGCCCAAGCGGGTTCCAGATCATGCACTACGGACATCAGATGACACAATTCATACGCGATTTGCCTATTTTTGATTGAAAAAGACAGGATAGTCATAAGATATAGGTACTCACGTTTGAATCTCCAATATCTTGAGATACCTCTCAGCAGGCCATTTTCCGCGCAATGAAAACTAGTGAATCAACATATGTGGGGGGGTCGATATCCGGAATGTTAGTGCTCACCTCGTATATGACATTCTCCTTCAGCACGAGCGATCGTTTGAGTTTGCTGCGGATGGCTAACAAACTCCGGACTGTGATGGTACTGTCTTTATCCGCGTGTGAGTTCGCGTAAGACACGACCGAACAGTAAATCGATCCAAGTTCAGCCGATGTTGTAGCCAGCGTTCGGCGCTGATACGAACGGATAGTAGTTGACGGAGGGAAGTGGGAGAAAATACTGAGATCAGGATCAATGACTGTTAAATGTGCAATCAGGGAAATCCCTCACCCCGCAGCTAAGACACCAACGGTGACTAGCACAAAACGACGCTTTATTGCATGTAAGCCAAGATATCGAGAAAAGCATACAGACTTACCCAAGCCACATCAAAACCCCATCCTGGCGACGAAGAGACAGTCAGATGAGTATCTTCATATGAATACCCCACAACCTATACCAAACCATCAGTTTTATTCACTCAATAATGTAAACTTTCAAATCATACCAATGCCGTTGTGACCCATATGATCAAATTCGTCATGGGCGCGATAGGCCAATACAATCGAGCAAAGAAAAATGACGGGTAGCAGACCGCACACACAGCTGCCAGTCCATAAGGGTTGCCTCGGCCGTTCCCTGCGGAAATATACCTGTGGACCGATGAAAATTCCGGAAGATTGTTCGAATCTGCGACGTACCAAATGACCGTACCAATCAAACCGCCAGCGAAGGTACTTATTATCCTAGCTATTACACCGAATGTTGTGTCTCCGCGAAAACGCGCTAAAGTAAGTTGAGCCATGAAGCTTTGAGAGTGTCAATCATTCTAGCATTGCAGAGGAGGAAAGGATTAACGTACACGGCCCAGACAAACTTGTTTACTTCAAGAATTATCAGTTCAAGATCAAAAGCACACACGCCCTGACTAACCGTATGCAAACTCTGCCGAAGTCTTGAGGAAAGATGGGATAGCAAGGATCACTAAGCATATCAACAGTCAGAAAATCAGACGAAAAATAAATGATTGCTGACCTGTTAACGTTGCCGCTTTCAGGGCGAAGAGCATGTTTCCACCTCCGATGCTGATAACGGCGCGGTAAATCCAGTTCATCACCCTTTCAAGTGCATTTCTTGGGGGAAGGGCATCGGGATCGCGTTTCACTGCCTTTCCGAGGTCCGTCATCCAAGTAGGGTCTATACCTGGAATCGTTTCTGTACCGGAATGTTAGTAGCTGTAACCACAAAAAAGCCTGCAGCAATATACCAGGATCCTCGTCGTCTTCTTGTTCGTTAATCTCATACGGTTCCCATGTTCTCCAGGTTAACAACTTCGGCAAGGAAGGAAGCCATAGTTTGGGCTTTTCTCTTTGCGTTTCGAGTCGAATGATTTCTTTGAGCTGCGCGTGATTTAACATTCATCACCAACCTGATACCGAAGAAACAACGCACCATGTCTTGTAATAGTGCAGCAAAATGCAATAGATGGTACTGGTACACATAACAATGGAATAGATACCGATGGGGAGGAACATCGTAGTCACTAGATGTATCATCGCTGCGGTCAAACATTGGACGATATGGGCCCAAAACAGTCAACCTGTCTCGACCACTCAGCAAAAAACAGCGTAAGAACACATAAACCACGTACCTCTTCTTGGTTAAGAATTCATCTAGCTCCCTTGTTAACTTTTCAAGCAAATCCTCATACCTCTGAACTTCTTCTCTGTGGTGTTGCGCCTTATCTTCATTGTAGCCCCTCAAAAAATCGAAGCTAAACCCCCCAACATTGCCTATCCAGGCTCCAGATATTCCGAGTACTTCTTGGCACACACTTAGAAGGTCCTGGCAGCTGTCGCTGAGTAGCTCATTTGCTCGAGCGGTAAAGAAATTTGAATCCGGATGCGACAAATGTATCGCCTCCAAGTTCAGATACTTTTGCGATTCAAATACACCTACGGCTGTTTCTCCAGAGTGCTTGGGCACCCGAGAAAGCGCCAAGTGCAGCAAAGAGCTGTGCAAGAGTGTGTGATGGGCGTGGTGTGAGCGCGAGTGCTTATACGGACGGGGCAAATGGAGGGGTGAGGTGGAATTGGCAGGATATGACCGTGCGTGGGAAGACAGAGGCTGGTGGTGGTGAGATGGTTTGCGATGCCTGATTTCCTTGTCAGCGGAGGGTGCGTGTCTCTCTTCTGTCGTCACGGAGGAAGGTCCATCAGGTCGAGGAGAGGGGGATCTGGGATGCACGGGTGTTGCGGGGTGGGAGACAGCGGGGGTGACAGGGAATTGCTCTCGCGTCGGATGGATGAGTGTAAAGTATACACCCATGCCATGCACTCGCACCATAAGCTTGCGCACGATCCCGTGCATTTCATTGTAATCGGTAGGCGCGAGGACGTGCGTAGATGATATCAAGTTTTAGTAATCGGGAAGCAGCTGCGAGCATAGGTAATGTATTCTCAGCTTTGTTTGCTGTATCTGTGATTTGTTTGTAGGAGAACGCAGATGAGGTGACGTCTTCGAGGAGATGAGACTTGTGCAATGAGATAGTGGTTGCAAGAGGCGTGACGGCTCCCTGCATATACGTTGTGAATTGAGCAGATACAGATTGGGGAAACACGAGAATCGATATGATGAGGGAGATCGCAGAGTGAAAGGCCAAGGGAAGAATGATCATTTGACCGATCTGGAGCCTGGTGAGTGTACGTTTTCCGAAACGGAAAACGTGTTACCTTGTAATATGGATAAGGAAAAAGAACCGCGGTCATCAAGGAAATGTCTATAGTCAATGAGCTCCAAGAAGGAAAGTGCGCATGAGTGATGCGTACCAACACATATACACCCAAACACGGAAGCGGGGAGGAAAGGTCCGGGGCCTAATCTAGCCTTGATGTACAAGAAGAAAGTACTTCCGATGAAAATGAAAACGCCGATGATAACAGAGGGCTTTGTTGCACGCGTCAACATATAAACTCAAATTGAAAAGGAAACTTACACCCGCTTCGATGTACTCTCCTGTGATGATAGTGCGTATACTAGCGTCTGGTACGGTCTGGATGCGAGCTAAGCTAGCAAACATAAGACCCAAGCAAACCCAGCTAAAAGGGACCATTGTGTCAGCGAAGAAGTAAGAGAAAGGAGTAGCACGTACGCCCAACCCAATGCCACAAAAATGAGTACGATTATTTCTCGTTCCAGGACTGCTATGAAAGGATCACTAGGGGGTGACAAAAACGAAGCTATGTGATGTCAATGCTATAGCAACAGTTAACAGAGATGAGCGCTACAGACCTATTATGATAAGGAAGGCTGCCTTCAAACCATGTAATCATTGAACGAACGATACGATGATAACAACGCAACACACCTGCCCCAGTATATTCTCTATTGAGGGAATGATAAACACGACCACAGCGATCCAAGCGGCAAGAGCGCTTCGAATGACGGGTTTCCATTTGGACCAAGTAGAGTTGGCTGGTATCCATCGCAAGCTTTGTGGTAGATTCATCGTCTTGCTGGCTGGCTGTTTGTGATCTGTGTGAACAGAGGAGTCGGATACGTCAGTATTCTTCTCTATGTCGCTCGCCGGTCGTTCATTCCTATCCTCGTTCGACTGCCCATGTGAAGGCTGGTTCGTTTCTGGTTCATTTGTAGAATTTGATTTACTGAATATTTGGGGTGGATCTGTCTGTATGCGAACTTGAGGGCGAGATGGTGGCATGCTGGCGAGAGTTGCTGATCAAGTTAGAGACCATAAATTACCTCACCTTGCTCCGATTGTTTGACGATCATACTTACCTAGTATGGAATACGACCAACCTTATTTCAAATTTCATACCGAAGAAATCAAAACTCTCTCACATATAGCCTTCATTTCGACGACACCCCGCGCGAGTCCATGTCATATCTATGCTCTCCGTCTGTACATGTGAGGTCTATGCAAACTGGATGAAAACTTACGTCAGTGGGCTGCTCGGAATAGAAAGGTCGCCGCACGATGTCACTGTCATCCCGTCAGGACCCCCTGCAAGTCTCCCACGCTTGCCCGTCTCAGAGCTGTCCTTATTCTGTGTTCGCCTATTACCTGCCTGCCTGCCAATACCATATCGTTGTCTGCAGCTCCCAATTCACGGCTCCCTCCAAGTGACTATAACCGTGACAGTGAACTGACGAGATTAGCATAACGGGTTGACCCATCTAGATAGCGGGATGCGATGGTGGCTGATGATACTTAGACTAAACAGACCTCAATTGACCGCCCGGAACTTTCCGCAAACTCTCCGATCAGACTCGGACATGTCCCCAGACGTTACAAGTTTGGCGCGAAATGTGGTATAGCCATTTCCTACACGTCTACGTCACTCGAATGCGTCCGTGGTTATATACACCGGATTGTACTCACAAACGTCACGATGTACTAAATGATATCACAATAACGCAGCAAATACATTACAAACGTCTAAGCATCATCCGGTACAAGAGAGCATCATAAAGCCTTTGTCAATATTGTCCAATTTCGTGAATGTTCCTTTTGATCTACATCAACATAACAGCTCCGAGTCCATCGACTAAAGATCCGAAGCACGCCAGAGACCTCAAAAGCAATCATCAGTAAGTCCATTCGTGAGCTCCCCCCTCCATCCAGGAAGCCGAGGAACCGGAAGACGTGGGTGCTAAGGTCAGACCAGGTGTGCAGAACAGGTAGGGAATGGCGGAGAGTTCCATCGGGGTATCGGGTTTGGGATCAAGGCGAGCGTAAGCGGGAAGTATAGTGACTGAGGTATCGAACGGAAAGATCGACTCCTTGACAAGTTTATCTAGGGCTATTTTCGGGTAATCTAGCTCGCGCAAGTTAGTACAGAAATATTGGATCAGTACATGTACAGCTCTAATATGTACAACCGAAGGAGTATCACCTTCCATGGGTTTGCAAAGAGTGCAAATAAAGTCGGATATGTCTGAATCTCCTTGGTTACAGACTCTGTGTGATGAATCTTTACTGTAGGGCGTGTTATCGGCGTCTTTCTGGTCGTAAATGCTAAGGCTTGGTGCTAGACTGTTGCAATGAGGGTATATGCGTCGCTCAGACACAAAACGCGCTTCAAGAGAGCATACCTGTAGAGATCTTTGCTGTAACCGACACCTGCGTCCTGTTCGGCATCTGTCTCCGGAGTGAGGGTGCGTGAAACTGGCGACGAACTTCGAGCTTCATAGAGCAGATACGGATTTCCTTGCATAGGTTCCGGAGTCATAGACATAGCAGACACAGAAGATCTCCGAGACATGCACGAGTCAGAATCGTAAGCACCGGACGAAACGAGCGAGTCGTCAAAAAGCGAGTCGACATCGGTCTTATCAGAGAAGGTAGGCGACAGAAATGGAGACAGCAGCTCTCTCTTCACTTCAAGCGTCACAGAAACAGATCCGAGTCGAGGCTCCAACGAAAGCTCGTACGAGTCGTTCGATATTGGCCGTCCTAGTTTCTTCGCCTGCGATTTGCGAGCGGAGAACCATTGATAGACGCGCAACGGACTTACGTTCCGCGAGACGGCCCATGCATGTCGCGAAGCGACTGTTGGAACGCGGGGATCGGATTTCCAGATGGCCCAGAGCTCTTCTCGGACGGCTAGAGTTAGACATGGAACAGGGGCTTTTGGAGATGGAGACCTGTCTTCGTGAGGTTTGGATTTGATGGCATAGTATGCTTTGCTTTTAGGTTTGGGAATAGAAGGCTTGTTGATAGCTGGAGCGGTGTGTGGGACAGAAGAGTTCTGATGACTTGGGATCGTGACCTCTGACGTTTCGAGCTTGACGGTGGGACGAGACATGGGTTTTGGATTGCAAGTCGAACGGAGAGGGTTGGCTGGAGCAGTTTTTGTAGACTGCATTTTCTTTGATCTTTGTCGGAGACTAGAGGAGTGAAAAACACAATGGGATACCGAAAACTCATGTTACAGCCGGCCCTAAACCAAACCGTATATGCTCCTGGTTGCACATGTCATTTTTCTCCAACTCATTTATATGGACTCGCACTATTGTCCCCCTGCGATTCAACCGTTTTGCTTGCAGGAGTCTACCGCTAGTCCCAGAATATTGAGCGTCTCAGCTGGAGTGCGCCCTCGTACGTGGTACGGTCTCAAGACGTTAGGGAAGCTTTCCTTACCAGAGTTGCTACAAAACACTTTGTATTCGAATTTTCATCTATATATTACTAGCACATATGTTATGATTGGAAGTTTGTTCAAATTCCTTGCAAGTTAGTAACTGGACCGAGCGAAGACTCTTCTACATGCGGGCGATGATTCTGTCTCAATTTTGCAAAGTCTCAGGCTACACGTTCGATGTCTTATTCCTCTCCAGGATCGATATCCGACTCTTCGATATCTGGCAAATGAGTATCCAGGCATGGTGCTTATACTATATTTCCAGTTCAATTCAGCGCTCGCAATTTCTTCCTTTACACTGTACAGACGCTGCTGAACGAAGTCACTGTCTACTGCCCGCAAAAGGCTATCATATCCTACGGATACAACAGTTGCTTCGCCCGGTTTATTGACCACGTCATTGTATATGACATGGGCCACCACAACGATTTTGATTTCGCCCATACCATTCAGCCAGCATTCAACGCTATGTCCCTCAATTCTGTCGACGTTTTTCAAAATGGCTGGATCCAAGGCATACTGTCACACATTTCTCAAACTAGTGAGTCTTGGCTCGCATCGCGAGTCATGGTATTCACTGTATTCTCGCCAAGGCATGCTGTTATGTACGTTCCAGGCGTAGGGTCATGTATTTCATCACCCACATCACGACAATTGGGGCTATCATCTATATGATCTCAATGTGATCTCAATACCGTCGAAAGACACATGGGAGCTTGCTATGAACCAAGAAGGAGCCAGACTTAACGATATCACTCATCACAGTAGGAACCAGGGCGGGAAGAGTCGAACAAGAGCCCAGTCAAACGATGGCGCACCGAACCGGATGCCACTGCAACTCTTGAGGCTTGTCCATTCTCTTCATGAGTCAGTATCCAAGGATTCTCGGGGTAGAATTGGTCACAATCCAGAAAGATGCATGCCAGCCCTCCGAATTTACGTGTTTGTTAGCCGGTACGTCTTCTTTGATACTTGACAATATACGCGCCAATTCATAAAATGTGATAGACGGTTGGACTCGTCCGCGTCCGCGTACCAGACCTGCACCCTGTCTATGGATATACGCAGCCGGCCTTTCCCTCAGTATTAACCAGTGTGGTCGACGTTCGATTTCACCCAATACGCACGGCACATGCTGCTCCGTCGCCCCTTAGTTCATACCCAGAACCACCATCTTCCGGGGGAAACTCCAAACGCACAGACCCTGTCGAGCACCACGGGATATCATCCATTCCAAAGGGTGTCTCACATCCCAACATACTCTTATTTGCTCCCAGACTAATCTGAAAGCCCTTGGAAGATCAAGCTCACCTCCATCTACAGATATTTCTGACATCACTGTTTTTGAGCTAGACGGGTAGGTAAGAGCGAAAATTTATTTATTTTGTCGTATTCTGATTATTCATTATAGTTCATAATTCTATCAACGTTCACATTATTCGTCATTTATTGAGTAATCCTCGTGCTTTTTGTACGAACAATTGAACAGTTGCAACTTCGTGTCTGTGCGAGGCTATAATCAGTTGCTTGATACAGGGAAATAGATAAGAGATAGACGCCGTGTGTAGCTGTTGTATTGAAGCCATATATGTAAGAGCCCTTGCTTCGTGTTCGTTCGTTCGTTATCATATCTCGCCACCATCTCGTTCTGTACCACAGTACAGCTTTCACGATAAACTCTCCCTCAAAACGCAAATCAAGATCTAACAATGGCAAACATCAACCCGGAGCAAATCAGAAGCATAATCGGGCGCTTTCGAGTTCTGATCATAGGGAGAGCAAACGCAGGCAAAACAACCATCCTTCAGAAGGTCTGCAACACCACAGATCAACCAGACATTTACGATGCCAAAGGAAATAAGGTGCGGGTGATGATCTATACCATCCACGCGTCTATCGCTGATCAACTGTGGGCAGATCGATGCTGACGTCGTGAAAGCCTCGATCAAGGTGCGTGCATCATCTACCCTATGGGCATACATACGCTGACGGATGCTCAGCGTGGAAACCACGACATCACGAACGAGATGGTGTTCAGGAGCAGTCCTGGTTTCGTCTTCCACGACTCTTGCGGGTTCGAAGCGGGATCTGAAGGAGAATTTGAGAGCATGAAGAGATTTGTCTCAGAGCGCGTACACGCGACGAAACTGGAGGAGCGACTCCATGCCATCTGGCAAGTAACTCCCCTCTGACGTTCTGCGCTTGTTGATTGCCATCAGGTATTGTATTCCGATGGACGAATCCTGTCGGACATTCCAGCGGTCGGAGGAGAAATTCTTTTTTGACTGCGACACCGGGCACGGTGAGCTTGCCACTTCGTTGTCAGTTGTCGTATTCGGACTAAATGTTCGATCTTCAGTTCCCGTGATTGCGGTGTTCACCAAGTTCGAAGCTCTCCGTCCAGTGGCGTATGGAGAAATCAAGAAGGAACTAAAAGGTGTATCTGCAGAAGAACGGTCAAAAAGGATAGCCCAACGCGTTGAAGAACTATTCACTAAGACAGGTGTTTGTGATCGGTTGTGCGACCCTGAAAACCGTACGCGTCCTAAGTTCTATGTGCGCTTGGAGAGTAAGTGGTTTAGATTGAGTTGTCCCATATCGAAGTTGATGTTGGTGACCCTCCTAGATATGAACAAGCCGAATACAAACTGCAACGTTCTACTGGAACGCACCACTTTCGCATTGGACAGCGAGGAATTGCGGTTGTGCTTGGTGTCGACACAACAATCAAATCTGGAGCTTTGTATCAAGTGTGCTGTCGCGTGAGTCTCACATTTTCAAGTCACATTGTTTTTTCATACCAACATCGTTTAGAATCCTCGTTGGTCGTGCACATAAGCTGTTCGGGCTCGACTATGAAGTCTATCAGTACGATATTGCTAAGTGGTTTCCGCATCTCCAAGTAAGACGAACATTCATTTAACTACACAATGCCTGGGTAATGGTGCTCACGAATGGTAAATATTGGAGCTCTAAAATTGCGGACATTCTGATATATTTTCCTTGATTGTAGTTGTGCATTGAAAACAGCGGGTAAGATCATGGTTTACGAAGCTCGAGTAGCACAGGCAACGCTGATGCCTTGTTACTGCTCGCCTGTTGACAGTTGGTAAGTGCTTTGAACATTTCTAGTCCTCGACCCAGGCTCATGATCTCCATCCCTCGCTGCTGCTCGCCTGTTGACAGGAAGTGAGTGCCTTGATTGTTTCTAGTCATTGAACCATGCTCATGATTCTCACCCATCGCTGCTGCTCGCTTGTTGATAGACAGTAAGCGCCTTGATTGTATCTAATCCTCGACCCATGCTCATGATCCCCATCTCTCGCTGCTGCTCGCCTGTTGACAGTGGGTGAGTGCCTTGATTGTCTCTGATCCTCGACCGGTGCTCATGATCCCATTCCCTCGCTGCTGCTTGCCTGTTGACAGTGGGTGAGTGCCTTGATTGTTTCTGATCGACATGCGTTCATGATCCCCATCTCTTACTGCTGCTCCTCTGTTGACAGGATGTAAGTGCCTTGATTGTTTCTGATCCTCGACCGGTGCTCATAATACCCATCCCTCGCTGCTGCTGCTGCTCGCCTGTTGATAGGGGGTAAGTGCCTTGATTGCTTCTGATCCTCGACCTGTGCTCATGATCACCATCTCTCGCTGGTGCTTGCCTGTTGACAGGAAGTAAGTGCCTTGATCGGTTCTGATCCTTGATGGGTGCTCATGATCCTCATCCCTCGCTGCCTGTTGACAGATTGTAAGCGCCTTGATTGTATCTAATCCTCGACCCATGCTCATGATCCCCATCCCTCGCTTCTGCTCACCTGTTAACAGGATGTAAGTACCTGGATTGGTTCTGATCCTCGACTGGTGCTCATGATCCCTACCCCTCACTGCTGCTCGCCTGTTGATAGGGGGTAAGTGCCTTGATTGTTTCTGATCCTCGACCCGAGCTCATTATCACCATCCCTCGCTGCTGCTCCCCTGTTGACAGATCGTAAGTGCCTTGATTGTTTCTGATACTCGACTGGTGCTCATGATCCCCATCCCTCACTGCTGCTTGCCTGTTGACAGGAAGTAAGTGCCTCGATTGTTTCTGATCCTCGACCCGTGGTCATCATGATCCCCATCTCTCGCTGCTGCTCGCCTGTTGATAGGAAGTGAGTCCCTTGAATGTTTCTGATCGACACGCGCTCATGATCCTCATCTCTCACTGCTGCTCGCCTGTTGACAGCGGGTAAGTGTCTTGATTGGTTCTGATCCTCTACCCATGCTCATGATCCCCATCCCTTGCTACTGTTCGCCTGTTGACAGCGGGTGAGTACCTTGATCAATTCTGATCCTCGACGGGTGCTCATGATCCCCATCCCTCGCTGCCTGTTGACAGATTGTAAGTGTCTTGATTGTTTCTGACCTCGACCGGTGCTCATGATCTCTATCCCTCGCTGCTGCTCGCCTGTTGACAGCGGGTAAGTGCCTTGATTGGTTCTGATCCTCGACCCATGCTCATGATCCTCATCCCTCGTTGCTGCTCGCCTGTTGATAGTGGGTGAGTGCCTTGATTGTCTCTGATCCTCGACCAGTGCTCATGATCCCCATCCCTCGCTGCTACTCGCCTGTTGACAGTGGGTGAGTGCCTTGATTGTTTCTGATCGACATGCGCTCATGATCTCCATCTCCCACTGCTGCTTGCCTGTTGACAGGATGTAAGTGCCTTGATTGTTTCTGATCCTCGACCGGTGCTCATGATCCCCATCCCTCGCTGCTGCTCGCCTGTTGACAGCGGGTGAGTGCCTTGATTGTTTCTGATCGACATACGCTCATGATCCTTATCTCTCACTGCTGCTTGCCTGTTGACAGGAAGTAAGTGCCTTGATCGGTTCTGATCCTCGACCGGTGCTCATGATCCCCATCCCTCGTTGCCTGTTGACAGATTGTAAGTGCCTTGATTGTTTCTGATCCTCGACCGGTGCTCATGATCCCCATCCCTCGCTGCTGCTTGCTTGTTGACAGCGGGCAAGTGCCTTGATTGGTTCTGATCCTCGACCTGTGCTCATAATCCTCATCCCTTGCTACTGCTCGCCTGTTGACAGCGGGTAAGTCCCTTGATTGTTTCTCGTCCTTATAATCCTGATACCTTTTTGCCCCCCCACCTGTCGATAGAAAGTATGTACCTTTCATTGTTCGTCATCCTCAACCCATGCTGACAATCATTGCTGCTCATCTGTCGATAGGAGGTAAGTGCTTTGATGGTTTTTTGTCTGCAATCCATGTGGACAGGTCTTACATCTTGCTGATCTTTTTGGCAGGTGGTAGGTGTCTTGATTATATCTTGTATTGCAATGATGCTGAATAGTATAATAATGGTGACTCATTTTCATAGACTGATGTAAGCATCTTCCATTTCATCACACGAGTCAGCTCATCATTGCTCATATAATGTGTAGTTCGTTGAGTATCCCTCGATAACTTATTTTCTATGTTCGCTCATCTTTCGTATTTTCTTGCCCTGTGCAGAATGTGAGTCATTTGACCCTTATCATGGGAGGCATTCAATCATTTTGACTGGGTCTTCCACTGTCTAGGATGTGAGTGTGTTTCAATCGTTAAAGATTCCAGCAACGTAATTCCTTGTATTTATCATGAGTTCGCAGAATGTGTGTTAATCACGGCCCATCTGATGATAGCACTCCAATGACAAACAATCTTATTTAGCTCGTACGTCCATGGATTGCGAATCTTCATCATTGCACGGTGATACTCATCTGGTTCCAACCCCTGACAGTTTGTAAGTTACTCCAACACAGCAGTCGTTGTCTACAATCTGGTGGTTAATTATTCGCAATTATCATGTCAACCATATAGAAGGTGCGTATCCATTATTAATTAAATGTCAATTTGCCACCTCATTATTCTGACATTCCTTTCCTGTAGAGGGCAAGTACTTCGTTCTGTGGAGTTGATTCTAACACTCACACTTCCAACCTGTGGCTAGACCAAAATCAGGCGAAGTGGTTTTAGCTGTGTCCTTCAGCCTTTGGTCAGTTGGTTTTCCTTCGCATTGATTCCCGGCACTGTAACGGTGTGCCACAGGCTGTGAAGGGATCAATATTCACTTCTGCGAACAGAATTATTCGGACTGGCATCGGTTAGTTTCTCACTGCATGACCAGTTGTGGTCTTAATCGCAACAAGCAGCTACTATTATTGTCCTCGAGTACTCCGCCTTTCTTGCGACCGACTCGGATGACTTGAAGTGCATCGAGTCTGCCGTGGAATACTACCTGAAATCTCCGGCAGCTGTCGCAGTGGAGAAAGGAGCGAAGGAGATTTCTGCTCAAGGCTACGACGGAGAGGAACTAGAGAAGAAGATTTTTGAGTTCATCCTTGAAAATCGTTTGTGTATGTCCTTCACCTTGTTGTGAACCTAGAAGTCGGAGCTTACTGACAGCCTGCAGCAAAGGACTTGACAGCAAAGAAGTAGATGATGCTCGAGCCAAATTTCCTGTTTTTCGATGCGTTTTTCTCATGCTATGCGCTCGTGTTATGTACGATACCAAGTACGCCAGCTTCAACTCCTGAGCGCTGAGCAGTGCAGACTGTGATGTTTTCTTATTTCCGATGCTCTTCTCCATGCTATGTACTAGACACTCCAGTTTCAACTGCTGAACGCTACAGACTGTATCGGGTTTCAACACCCATTTTTCGTATCTTATGATATCGCGTTCGGTTTTGTCTTTTATAGTTGCGCCCGTTAAATGATCGTTCATTCTCATTTTCAATAATGATAATTCGAGAACTGGCTCGTGTGCTTTAATGCTGAAGCAGAGGGGCATGACGGCTCAGAACATCGTCGATGCTCGTCGGGACAGCATGCAGCCTGGAGAGTAAGTTATGTCATGAAAATCTGGGAGACCACGATAGATCTAGAACAGCGATGTGCGATTGTCTAGTTGAACATAATTTCATTGTCTCGACGATGTAAGGCGGCTGTTTGAGTTCGAAGGGGAACTGATCGAGACCCGAACGAAGGACGCGACTGATAGAATGAGTGAAGGGGAGTTGTTCACTGAGGATACGTAAAGTAAGGACATGCTTTTATATCTAGTGAGTGGCTACGACGGTAACTGCTATAGCCGGTGAGGTAGTACTGCAAATCGGTCCGGTACAACGGGAATTCCGTAGCCAGAGCGGTAGCGATCCTTACAACGAAGGAGAAGATCTCGGACAGAAAACCAAGATGACAGAAGGTGACACGAACGCGGTATATATCGATCGAGGCATTGACAACATCATGAAGCGTAGGTATGCTGTAGACACTACAAGGTAACGCCTGAATACTAAGTTGAAGTCGGATGGGAAAGGTACTTATAAGGTGATAGAGGCTAGCAGGCACTGACGCACGAGGAAAATGAATGATGCCGACTGCAATGATTCCCGAAAGCGCTGTACGTATGCTTACAAGTTCAACGTTAACATTCAGCGCTAGCGCCCAGCCAAGCTTGAGACTGACTTAGTAACTTACACATGCAAGTAACGTTAAAGAACTCAAGAATATATAATTCTATAATTCTACATCTAAACATTTGTCTCATAATAATCAAATTATTGTACTGCAATGTGAGCTTATACGGATGGCGAAGCCAAAGATTCCTGCCTACGGAAGTCCACCGGGCTGGCTTCTGAGCAACCGCCGCAGGCCTGTGTGTTTTATAATATATGAAAATGGCCATGCAAGACGCCGCCAGAATCCAGATCCTGCCTCGTGGAACGGCGAGTGAGACTGGAATGTAACTACGAGCCATGCAGTAAGCACAGTAAACACAATAGAAACTAGCGCGTAATGTGACAGGGTTTCCGTGGCATCGTCGGTGATTTCCTTTACATTCATACCAAATACTGCCTGAAAGAAGGTCATTGAACATATTGTCAAGAGACCGAAATTAGGCGTACCGCAACGAAGCTGGCAGGGAGGAATATCATTGTCAGATAGGAAATCTATCGAGGTATTTAGTATCGTCAAGCTAATGGATACGCTAACCTGCCTGTTTCATAGCGGCCGAATCACGGACTGTTGCTATTGTCAGATCTTGCATCCGTCGACTGTCAACAAAGTTCACGGTCGCTTTAGCCTGGACATCGAAGTTAATAGTGCTCGAATCTGGCGGAGTAAACACACGAACGAGGTCTGTGATATTTGTCAACTGGAAGCCTAGCCTGTCAATTTCAGAAAGGAGGTTATCGCATTCCTTGCGCATCACTCTATTCGTGTCCCTTCTTGCATGATCAGTAAATTTGGGAGACTCCAGAACGGGATTCGGCGTGTTCCTGATGAAGGTCACAGATTTGCGGAAATCCTCGAGAAGTGAAGCATAGTGGAGGAGTCGAGCCTGGATAGTGTGCAACTCAGTTGTGAGGTTGTTATCATTTGTCGATAGTCCGTTTATTTCCTGAATGATGACATAACTGAACGACTGAACGACACGAGCGACAAAGAAGCGTACCAGCCAGTTCATGTGAGTGTACAGATGGTCCAAGGATTCGTCCCAGGCGTAAAGCGCATACCAAAGGATAGCCAAGAAGACTAATGATGGATCCTTAGACTGTTCGAATATCTTCTGCCAATACACGCTCTCTCCCACTTTCTGGACTAAATTTTTCAATCGCTCTGCGGTTGTCCTATTCCACTGAGCACTTGGGTGGTAAGATATGATAGTACTACCACTGGGGTCGGATGATCTTATCATGTGTAGAGCGAGCAGGTCTTCAAGAAGGTACTTTTCCGCCGGCGAGCAGACTGAAACAAACATGAAGATACGACACCAAAAATGGGGGAAGACTCTACCAGAGCGAAGACGAAGTGACTCTTGCGTGTCTATAGCTTTTTCACCGCCTGGACAACTATTAAGTTATGTTTTCCTGGAGAGCTTAGCAGACGCACAGGAGATGTGCTTATTTTGCGAGGACATGACGGGCTTGTCCCATGGCGCCGTGCGTACAAAGAGCAGTGTTACCGTAATGTCTGCGATAACTTAAAAGCGCCATCGGGTAAACCATGGAGAGCACTTACGATCTCCTTTTTTCTTGACAACTTCTTCTTGGTATCGAGAAGGGATCCAGTTTAAGGAGGATGTGAAAAAGCACGGTTCAATGTTGTACCTAATTGATGTTCAACCCAGAACGCATATCTAAAGAAATGAATCTCTAGTACCTTGTTCCCAGCATCTGGAGTACGGGATGTTTCATGTTGTCGACGAGCAACACCCGGAGACGAAGACCTGGTGGCTGTAGGGAAGACGGGTTAACTTGGCCCTTAACAAAGTACGACCATGCTTCACCTCTATCTGCAACTGATCCCAGAGCTGACTTATAGCGCTTTCATCAACCTCAATAGATGGATCGGTGTCCTTAGCCGACTTGAATTTTCCGGATTCAAGTACATCGACATAATAGATCCTGCATTTTTCTCGAGGGTCCCTGGAACAATTCTCGACCATCTTACACCGTGCAACTCGATCAGCGACCCAGTTCCCGAACAAGTTTTGAGGATATCCCCTCCACTTCCATTGCTCCACTGATTCTTTGGTTGACGGAACAAGTTCGGTTTCCAAAACAATGTCCGATTCAAAGTCCATCCATGGCCAAGGTCCAGACGGGGCAGCATGTCGATATCTGGAAAGATACCATCGACTCTGAACTCTAGGCTTACGAGTATAGAGTGGATTGTGCTCACATTGGTGCGGGTATTGTGGGAGGCTTACTGTTGTGCGTTCCATGACCAACGTTGCCCCAATGAAGGGTGCTCAGTGGAAAACGAGACTGTCTGCTAGTCATGGGTAAAGGTGAGGGAAAGAAGAGTCTCAGTCCATCCGGATGTGAGAAGGTAGGTCTTACTATATAATAGTTTTGCAAAGATGCTGGTGCCGTCAGCTGGGATCAAAGATGCTTCGTACAGGGTTTCGCTTGCGAGTCGCGAAGTAAACTCATTACTCATTATGATTTACGGCACCGTTATCTTGGCATGTTTAAAGGTCTTGATTACTAAGCTTGTGCGAAACGATCACTGACTCGGACTCGGACTCGTACTGAGTACTGATTCACTGCCAGTGGTAAGTATCAGTTACGCGGCAATGTGAGTATGAACCAGTGCGATTTTTATGTATCGTCGGTGAGGAATAACGTCGCTTATCATTCGGTCGATGAACCCAAGAAGGAGGATCGAATTAGCAATACTCCAGGATCCACGGCACATGACATGATGTCAAGACACTCCAAGTTCACGGTACATAGTACTCCCAGCTCGGACTCCCGGAGTCTGAGAACCATCCCAAACCGCTAGTGCATATGTATTCTTTCGGTGTTAAAGTCACCACTCTCGGGCCGCTGGAGACTGCCGCATATCGTGATATGGGTGTATCATCGTGGCGTCCAAGTTGTCATTGGAACGACTTTGAACAACGGCCACCCAGCGACTTCCTGGTCTCCCTCAAGCAGACCTAAATCAATCAAAACTGCGCGCCTTTCTCCTTGCTCCGAGTCGATGCTTGTCATTTTTTTCCTTGCTCATTGATTCATTACTCATTATGCGCAAAGTCACAAACGTCGGACCTAGGCCTCACGGATAAGCTTCGAAGATACAGGTAGCTATTCTAAATCAGCATGGTGCAATGATATTGCTGAACCCGTTATCCAGCGATAGTTTCAAAGTTCTGCCAACCTTTAGGCTCATCAATAGACTTCATACAGCCGCTCAATCACCATTTATTTGGTGCGCTTGATCCCCGTGGGATTCGACCTTGGGAATATCAAGGGAAGTTCGACAGTTGGCACCGGCCGGCACAGTCGATTATATTCTTAGCTGCAATCGCTTCCGGTTTAACTTTCTTGCCTCCGAGTTAAGCTAGCTTGCCAAGTAATATTCCGCAGCATGCGTATTTCTGCCAGCACTCCCGCTCTACTCCCGACATTACTCCCTACCTTTCAGCGCCTAGTATGTATTTGAAATAATCATATCAACTTGGGCAGTATTCATCAAACGCCATGCTTCTCGGGGTGTTACAGGGGACAGCGAGACCGCCAATCGTTGACGCCTTTTCGCACCTCCGAGTGCAAGTTAACACTAATATTAACCCGTTTTATCTGTACAATTATTTAGCCACCGCATAGCGAAAACAATCTTGTCAAGTCAGGGTGCATACAGATCTCGAACCCTCATCCGGATAATGCCGGTCTAGTCTGCTTCTGCTGCTGTAACCCACATTAATGAAGTTCTGTCATAGATCAAGCTCTCAAGATGCCCCACCAAAAATCAAATGTACGGCTTCAGAATTTGACAATTGTAATCGACGCAATGACAAATCCCTGGAAAGCGTGATACATCCACGACCAATTGGTTGTATTACGTCTCCGCACAGAACATGCTACTGTCGCGTGTTTACAACTTTTTGGAGAAACATCCATGTCGCCCGCAGAACCGCATACTACTGGAGAATTGATCTCTTCTGTTGGCATTCCTCATGTGTCTATCGACGTAGGGAACCTTATTTTCGGCGATTCTACGACAAGTGGGACTTATTTACGACGATGGCTTTGATATACTAACAATCTGCTTTTTCAGGCTTACAGCGATCATTTACTGTCATCAAGAATATAGGCGAGGGCTCTTTTGGGTCAGTCTTCCTATGTGACTGGCATGGAGAATTACCATATGAAGTGCCACCCTCTACGACTAATATCAATGGTGTCGCGAGGCCAGAATGGACAGGTATGCATTTGGTGGCCGTAAAGAAACTCAAGCGAAGGTTGCAACACGGTTGGGACGAGTGCCAGTACCTCAAGGAGTTCAAGGTTTAGTGAATCTTCTGGCAGCCCCATGCGTCCTGTTAAATTGATCATAGGCACTACATGCATTGACCCCCCATCCATGCGTCATTTCTCTCTATGATGTCTTTCTCTCAAGTGAAACTTCGGAGTTGTACTTCGTTTTTGAAGCTATGGAAGGCAACTTATACCGATTCATGAGAGCCCGCAAGGGACGGCCATTGGCCGCTGGCCTTCTGTCTTGCATCGTTAGACAGATAGCAGCTGGACTGCACCACATTCACTCTTCGGGTTATTTCCATCGTGATATGAAACCTGAGAATATTCTCGTCGCTACCTCGGGGTTCTTACAATCACAACCAGATGAACAGAAAGATGTCGCCATCATCTGCAAGATTGCAGATTTTGATTCTGCAAGGGAGATATCAAGCACTCCACCTTACACAGAGTATGTCTCAGGTCGGTGGTATCGCGCCCCTGAGGTGCTGCTCAAGCAGAGAGACTATTCTACGCCGGTAGACATGTGGGCCCTCGGGGCGATCATGGCCGAGCTGATAAACTTGAGGCCTATATTTCCTGGTACTGGAGAAATCGATCAGATACACCGAATCATCAAAGTACTTGGCGACCCTGCAGATTATGGCGTGGACAAACACGGAAGATCTTACGGAGGTGGTTTATGGCCCCTTGGCTTGGAATTAGCAAAGCGTCTTGCCTTCAATTTTCCTCGGGTTGGTATAATTGTGTATCCGAGTTTGCGGAGTATTTGACTCACTGTGATGCCTCAGACTGAACCGAGAGATATGTATACGATGTTCGACAAGAAAACCTCTCGCCAACTTGTCGACTGCATCTCTGGTCTCCTCAAGTTTGACCCCAGCTTGCGCCTTACTAGCCAACAGTGTCTCGCGCATGAGTATCTCGAGGAATGCCTGCCGGAAAATCTTCCTGGCGTAGTTCCTGGACTAGAAATCCACTCTCCATAATCTGTCAATAGCAAATGATCTACACAATGTCGGAACCAACTGTTAGTGAGTCTTTTATGATGCATGCTATTTATACTAATGCTCACCCCTTCATATTATAGAAACCGTCAGGCATGATATGGGCTTTGGAGTACACCGGAACAGTATATAGAGTTGCCTAAATTTTTGTCAATGTGTTCAACGCATCCCTTTCACCCATCTTTCCAAGCGCAACTAGTAGTGAACCTGAAGGTTCGAAGTCATCGCGAAGGTACTTGCTTCCACACTACGGGGAATAATGTGAGCGAAAGAATCGTTTCCGAATTCCCTATATCTTTCCGTGAAACCAGTTGGATAAAAAATGATCAGAGAGAGCGCGATGCAAGACACTTGCGTCACGGTGTCAAGGCGTGTGTCATTTTTTGAGAATATCGATTGATTATAAAGAGCCCAGAGCTCCCTCGTATTCAGTCACACCTGGGTCTGCTGATGTCAACTCTGTGGCTACTACTAGAAGAATAAGACCAGTTTCTCTACCCTTCATGCCCGTTCGCATTGTTCGCAATCTCATCCTTGCCACCAGTAGACCGTCAAACAGGGATCAAAGGTAAACATCTACCAGGACATGTGGGTGCCGTGTCTATATTCTCATATACTTGTATGATACAAGCTTTACATACGATGTAAGTGGCAAGTGGCTACGAATCTTCCAGCCATGCAACAAGAGTATAAGCTGCTGCATGCAGCGGTACCACCGACTAATAGAGTGCTGACTGCTCCCCATATGTAGCCTCCAACACCCTGCCCAGCACCCGTAACTCGAGCTTTCACAGCTCCGAATATCAACAGAACGATGCCTGTGACAATACAAGAGTATACAAGCGCTACATGCGCTTGCGGAACAAAAAAGTATGGAATGAGAGGAATGATTCCGCCAACCAGGTACCCGAAGCCAATTATCAGCGCCGAAGAGTATACTCGACGAATCGAGATTTCCTCTAAAAATGAAACAATGAATATGGCCGGTATTTAAAAGTAAAACAATACACACCCATTCCCTCTCCAAATTTGAGTAAAAACGGTGTCAGACCAACTTGGTCCTTCCATCTCAGCAACTGCGCTTCTTCGTCTGACGATGAACCGTTCGCACTGACTTCGGGGTCAAATTCAGCATCTCTGAGACACTTGGTGACCGCCTGGCATGTCTGCTCGTCGACACCTACGGGGACAAGTACAGCACATACTTCCCTTTCCATTTGTCCAACGCAGCTCCGTTGCACCCGAGCCGATATGTGGCGTCGCATGTAATGGCAATGATCCCGCTCTGCCGAAGATGCTAAGAAGCCACCAATGCCCATAGAAATAGCACCAGCGATGAGTTCGGCTATTCCGCCAACGACAACTAATCTTGAGGTGCCCAAAGATGAAAGACCTGCTGCTAGAGCAAAAGGGGCTGTCAAGCCATCTGAAAGTCCGATGATACTGCGAATCATCTCAATGTTCTGTCCGATATGATGAAACTGAGATAATCACTTACATATCGCGAATGATATCAGGATCAATAAGCGTGCGGTCATCGTCGTCTTTGAAGTCTTTGCAGCAAACGCCATCCAGAGGATCGGGCCTGTTACAACTCGCTGGCAGTGATGGGGTAAGTGTTCCATTGGCGTTCAAAGGCCGTACTGGTGGCTTAGTGTCCATGTTTCCTTCTCTATTTGGCAAGGAAACAGCAACTGTGCCATTTGGATTAGATTCTGAAGCCATTCTAAAAGACGAGATAGCGAGGCTGTTTTTTTGCAAGATTAGTATACAGCGAGATGAGTGGGGTTGACTTGAAGTGATACCATAAAGGTCCTTATAACCAGAAATTCTAAGAATCTAAGAAGTAGAACGGTTTCGGGACGTCAGAAAAACAACACACAGCGTATATGGGGATATATGTTCTTGTGAAGCTTCCGAGCATCTGTACAGCTTCTCGCGAATTGTATTAGAGACAAAATGCGTCGAGGGAAAGGCATCCGGAGTAGGGTGCGAGTAGAGATGATAATGCAACAAAGGTAACACATCCTTCCATGAAGATTGGGAGGAGAAGCTTACAGGTTGCCTTACAAACGTAGCCTGATAGAAATTACTCATTGGTGAGGCATGGTCGTCATAGTCCACCTGAAGTGGATATAAGCCTAGTGAAAACATATACAATGACATATTCGCACCTGATTAACTAATTGATGCTCCAATGTCTGAGGTCTGATTGGAGACAGGGTCTCTATCATAGTAATCGTATTCGGTATGATTTGGATAAAAGGTTGAAGGCGAGGGGCTACACAAATCTCAGTAGTTATGGGGTATTGGGAGGTCTTACGAAGAAGTGAATTGCGACGTCGAAGTCGGAGAAGGAGATGTGGTAGTTACTCGCGGAGTTGGAAAACAAATAGCAGTATTACCGCTTCGTTATCGTCATGGTCATGCCAAGACCTTCGAGTTCAGAATTGCAACATGACCAGCAAATACATCAAAATCTCCAATCCTACTCCCCATGTGTTGTTGTTAGAGCTAAACAGGTACTGCAACATCCGAGCTCCCGAGTCTCTCACGTTTTAACAACACTGTCCAGACAGCCAGTCAACGCATTCAATACAGAGCGAGTCACTTCAGTTTCCACAACCGTTGCTAATGCTCACACCACATGATTGTACAGGTTCTGGAAAGGAGTACGGACGTACATTCGACGCACTTTCAACGCATCCAGATGACATTCGCGCCGTCGTCCTTTCGTCCGCATTCCCTAAAGTATTCTCAGCAGGGATCGACTGTAAGCACCGCGCCGCACCCAAGCAGACCAACAGCTAATCCCCAACAGTCCAAGGACTCATAAACCTCGGTTCCTAGCAACACCACAGACCCCGCCCGCCGCGCACTCCTCATCCGCAACGACATCCTCGACATCCAACACGCAGTATCAGCACCCGAGCGGTGCCCGATCCCCGTAATAGCAGCAGCGCACGGGCTCGTGATCGGGCTCGGGATAGACATCATCTCCGCATGCGACGTCCGATATACAGCATCAGACGCCAAGTTCTCCATCAAGGCTCGTTAGTCACATGGCTGCTCACTCGTTTGTCTGATGCGGGCTGCTGCATATAGGAAGTCGATATGGGGCTCGCGGCTGACGCTGGGACACTGGCTTATTTGCAGAATATTACGGGGAATAAATCGTTGGTGCATGAGCTTGCGTATACTGCGCGGATGTTCTCGAGCGATGAGGCGGAGAAACTTGGTCTTGTTTCTAGGGTCGTTCAGGGCGGGAGGGATGCAGTCGTGGCTGCGGCATTGCAATTGGCCAGAGATATCGCTTCGAAGAGTCCCGTTGCGGTGAGTGGGACAAAGCGCCTTCTTCTGCACGCTAGGGATCACAGGTATGTGAGTTTGTTGAAGCTTTTGGATTAATTGATTGTTTTGTGATAGCGTTGCTGAGAATCTAGAGTACACGGCAACTTGGAATTCAGCTGCGCTTCAGGCTATGGTTAGTTCATTTACTATCTGCTTGCCATGCTTCAATTGATATAAAATACTATGCTAGGACTTGCAGCAGTCAGTCAAGGCGGGAATGGCGAAATCAAAGGAGTCCCCGAAGTTCTTGCCATTAAGGCCCAAGCTCTAGTTAACGTTATTCAAGTACGCTATGTTAGCCTTTCCTGATCTCTTCCGCTAATGAGAATGTGAAATTTACATTGAGCATGATAGTAAATACAATGGTATTTTCAAGATACTACACGTGCATCAGGCTAAACCCTGCACCTTGTTATATGTTGTTTTCTCCAGCTCACATCCTGTGGCCGAGGTTGACGTGGACAGACTTCACTGCGGTGTAACTGATAACATATCAGTATGTGCTAAGATACCATAGACGCAACACTCACTTAGCGAGGGCATACTCCCCAAGCTCACGACCAATACCACTCTGCTTGAAACCGCCGAATGGTACGTTGGAGTGCAATGAGTTAACGCAGTTGATCCATGCAGTTCCAGCCTTGAGTTTGTGGGCGGTGTTGATAGCACGGTTCAGGTTCTGGGTGAAGACGGCAGCAGCAAGACCGTAGACTGTGTCATTTGCCTGCTTGATGACATCTTCCTCGTCCTTGAACTTGATGACAACACCAACAGGACCGAAAATCTCCTCTTGGACGATCTTCATCGATGGGTCGACGTTGGTGAAGATGGTGGGCTTGATGAAGTAACCCTCGCTTCCATGACGCTCGCCACCAATTTCAACCTTGGCACCAGCTGCCTTTCCGGACTCGATGTAAGACATGATACGCTGGGGCGTGCATTAGGCGGGAACAGTTACGAAGGCATGTGACGGCATACGTTAAATTGAATCTCTGACACCTGAGGACCCTGGAAAGTGTCAGGGGCAAATGGGTCGCCAACCTTGAGCGACCGAGTTTTCTCCGTGAAGCGCTTGAGGAATTCGTCATAGATGCCTTCTTGCACGTAGATACGCGAACCTGCACAACACGTCTGACCGTGGTTCCAGCTGGTGACATATGAGTATAGTTTGCATGACAACACGCTATACTCACAAGATACCGAATGCAGCCCAGTTGACAGCCTGTTCGATGTCTGCATCGTCAAAGATGATATTTGGACTCTTTCCACCGAGCTCGAGGGTGACGTTTTTGAGGTTGCTCTTCGCGGCAGCCTCCATGATCTTGCGACCAACAAGGGTCGAGCCAGTGAAGGCGACCTTCTCTACCCTCATATGCGAGGAGATGGCATTACCGACACTGTTTCCGTAACCAGAGATGACATTGACCACCCCGGGTGGGAAGCCAGCCTCGTTAATAAGGTGGCACATTCGGATGGCAGTCAGAGGTGTGAATTCTGACGGTTTCAGAACAATGGTGTTACCGCATGCGAGAGCAGGGCCAAGTTTCCATGCCATCATGAGCACTGTAAAGCGAGGAGTGAGGGCATGACACTCGAAGCGACTGACGTGTACGCACATGGGAAATTCCATGGGATGATTTGACCCTATCAGACAAACATAAGAGGACGATCTGGGAGCTGATATACGTGTACTTACGACGACACCAATTGGTTCGTGACGAGTATAGGTGAGCTTGTCTTCGGTGGTCTACCCGATTATCAGTGAATGAGCGAAGTTGATAGTTGAAAGATTCAGACCTCTTGTACTTGACCAGTGACCTTATCAGCCCAACCAGCATAGTAGCGAATACAATCGATAGAACCAGCCACATCGACATTTCTTGCCCAATTGAAAGTCTTGCCTGAGGATTATTGGTTAATGATTCGGATGCCCACCGATTGGCCTGGATGCTAACCGTTGTCCAATGCCTCCAAAGCGGCAAGCTCGTCTGCATTTTTCTCCATTATGGCAACAAGCTTTGACATTAAGATGCTGCGCTGAGCACCGGGGGCATGAAGACCCCAGGTGGTATCGAAGGCTGCATGAGCAGCGTCGACAGCAAGGTCGACATCCTTGGGGGTACCCTCGGACACAGATGTTATTACTTTTCCATTGGCTATGGATCGAGTTCATGTAAGATCGTGAATATCGACGTGAAGAGAGAACGTACTGGGATTGATGACACTGAAAGTTTTGAGAGTAAGAAGTGATTGATTAGTGATAGGGGTGAATCATACTCAATGGTAGTTTTATCTGAACCATCCAGGAACTGGCCGTTAATGAAGAGACCGGTGCTGAAAGAAACTTTGCCTTTGAAAGCGGGTGTGTTGAATTCGTGAGTGAATGCAGAGGGCATGATGACAATGAATGAATGGTTCTCACTCGGTTGAGTATGTAGTATATATAGGAGCGGAGTGCCATTATACAATTATGTAAATACTGTGGGGCCCAAACTTAATCCAGTGTCACCTGAGTGTCCTTCTCCTCTCACGTTCCACTTGATAGTTGTTCGTACCTTTTGCCTGATACTTTGCTGGCTTGGCTATGAAGTTAGTTTGTAGCTGAGCTGCCGCATCGAGGTACTCAAGTACCTGAACGCGGACGGTCAAATAACAATTCGTATTCAATTGGGTGACACTACTTAGTCCTTTATTAGTTCGCCAGCGTCACCTGGTACTTATGTATTGATAGACCTTTTTTCATTGAGTACATGTGCCCGCACACATGGCACCAATGCAAATATTGTCATCGATTCATGCATCAACCGATGGTCCGGCATTTGCAAATTCTTCACAGCATCTAGACCTATTGGTGCGTGTGATGCCTCGCCATTCTCTTTCGACTTGCTCAACCGAGCCTCGCCAAGGTTCGACGCATCTTGGCGCCCTCTTATTGGCGACATTAACTGGGTCACTGACGTACGTCTTTGGCCCGGACCCACCCATCGTCGGTCTCCCGGGCCGACGGACGAAATTCTCGAAATTTCCGCCATGAGCCTGTCTCACACTTGCATGTGTTTCATAGATATACGCAAGGCCCCAAAGATCCTCCAGATGCTCCTCCATACATCGTTCTCCCACCTTGCGTTCCCTCGGCCAAAGTTTTACTCACCCACCCACCTTCATCAATCTCACCAGCATATTTTGGTTTGGTCTCGTTCCTTCATGGTCCCCGCAACCTGAGATCTGGTCTCAGCAGGTTCAGAGGGTCTGTCCCCTCTGCATCCGACTTTTGCCCCAAACACCGGACTCAGGAATGCTTCGCTTCAGACTGCGCGTACAGACGCTGGTCTGACAAATCCAGACCTTCCACACCACACCACGAAAGCGAAGCTGTCGTAGTGAAATACTTCACTTAGTCTTCTCACCCGGATTCGCGTCCTCGAGCCTTCCCACTCACACTCCCCTCATCGTCTTGCAAGTGTACTTATTCAGTAAAATGAGTATCGCACGTCATCCTCTTACCTACTCCATCGAAACATACATACGGCTATCGTACGAGGCTTCGAACTAGAGCAATGTAGACAGTCAAGAATGACCTCAGCGCTCGATAACGTCGTCTCAGGAAAACACAAGAACCTCAATATCGCTTGCTTCTTGATGTATAATTGCCATACAAACAACGTGCCTACAATGGACGTGACGTTCCCTACAGTCGCCCATCACAAAGTCTCCCTCAAAGTAACGACTTTCCGATCTATCGTTTCTATACCTAATATCCTATCAGCCTCTGGTGACCCTGCAAGAGGAACATCCTTCCGTAGAGAGACCTGGACCGGCGAGACACCTTCATTGTAAGCCAATGCAAAGACGACATCCATATCTGAAAGAAATGTTGAACCGACAAAAAAACACATCAGATACAGAATTACTTACCTTCCAATGAACGACCTGCAGTCTCTGGGAAGAAGAAATAGACAACTGGAATGATGAGAGCGTTCAGCGCAGCGAAAACTGTTCAAACATTAGCTTCACACTGGACGCGGTATTTCACGACCTACCGATGTAAGTGCCCCAGGATATATTGTTGAATGACGGGCCAGTGACCATCACGACTACGAAATTGAATATCCAATTCGAAGCTGTGTAACAAGGTGTCAGAACCCCAATGTGGATAGAAAAAGACACTAGATACATGTGCTCAGGGCATTGGCAGGCGCACGAATTTCCAACCCGACGATTTCGGCACACTGACGCAGCTACATGTGAGTTCCGTGTAGATTCCAGCAAGCAAGCAGCTCACGTATAGCCACGTCATGCCCAACCACCCGATGGCAAAGAACGAGTTAAACACAAAAAGCAGCACAGCGCTCGTTACTTGCGCTCCGGTACCTCGTACACTGCCGAGAACGGCAAGCAATACCATAGTAATGCACTGGCCCACAGCGCCAAAAAGCATGAGCTTTCGTCGTCCGATACGGTCTATGATGAAGATAGCTATCAGGGAGGCAATGAAATACTCCGTTCCGTTGGCAGCCGCGATAAGACGTGAGGTAACATCCGACAGACCAAGGCGCTGAAATAGGATCGTCTAGAGTGCCACGGACATAAGGGATCAGCGAATTCAGAAAGGGGAGGTAAGACTCGCAGCATAGCTAAAATGTCAAGTGCGCATCAGATCCCGAATGTATGTTAAAGGCAGATACTCAACTATGTAATCAGGTTGATGCCCGTAAGTTGTTGAAAACACTGGTTGATCACTCCTAGACAAGTTCTCCGGAAATGTTGGCTCCGGCCGCCAACGAGGAGTTTCCTCAAAGGCGAGCGCTTGGAATTCTGTAGTGTATGTTTGCTTCCAAGACCGCTGGAGGCCCTAAAATCCTCGATAGCAACTGTTTCCCGGATAGCATGATAGGTGCGTTGAACTTCAGCATCGTCTGGGGATTTGTCCTCGAGCGCCGAAATGACTGCTATCGCCTCTGCGTTTCGGTTCTGCTTTACAAGCCTAAATCACTGTTATCAGAAACGTGCCAAATAGATGAATCAACATAATCACCATCTTGGCGATTCAGGAAGCTGAAGAATCTAGTCAGATAGGAGAGTGAGAGTAACTGTATAGTTGACTCACGAAACCGACTCCAAAGACCATGACCAGAGCCAAAACTATCTGGAGCGCGATGGGGACTCTCCACTGAGCGGAAGATCCACTCGCCCAATAACTATGTGCCTGTGAATCGGGTGGCAGGAAAGGAAGAGGGTGACATACAGGCCAAAATCTATCCACTTGATGCGCGCCATCAATCATGCCAAGGTGTCAGATTGGCAGGCTCACTTACATATCTGACAGACACATGACTTTAGGATACAAGCATAGCATGGCTACTCACGAGATCATGACACCAAAGGTAATTAGAGACCCTTCGATCAATATCAACGCGCCGCGTTTCGCAGCAGACGAGAGTTCTGCATGATAGCTTGGAACTGTAGAGGTCTGTCGAGGAACGCAAGATACAGATGGAGGAACAAACTAGAGACGGGGGTACTGACGTTCAAGCCATTTCCGATGCCAGTGACTATCCGAGCGACCACTAATTGAGCATAGCTGTAGCTGGTCGTTTGGAGAATAGCACCAATAATCATGATACATCCACCCAATGCAATTGTTTGGCGTCTTCCTAAACGATCTCCTACCCAAAGATTGGATAAAGCCCCCATGAGGCATCCAATTTCCTGTGCATGCAAACACATTGAGAACGATTTAACAACTGTGGTTTGCTGCTCACATATACAGCGACAACAAAGCTTTGCAGGGTAGCGTGGTTAGGGTGACTGCTATCTACTACAACCTGGGGGAAGACCTTCTCAAACTAAGATCGATTAACGCCTACACGACAACATTTTCGACCCGGGAGGTCTTGATTTGGTGACATACCTGTCCAGCGGTCAGCAATGCAGACATAACCCCTTGGTCGTAGCTACGTCATGCCGATAACGCAGTTCTCTTAGTAGGTTATCCAAAAACAGGTAGGCCCATCTGTACGAACCCAAACAACGTAAATCCAGTACCAGCAACGAATGCGATCGAAACGGTTAATTTACGCCCACGGAGGCGAGGGGCATACGAAGCGACTTCGGCATCAAAATTAGTCTCTTCATAGTGCTTCCTCTCTTCTCCTTCGAACGTTCTTGAGACTGGAAGTCGGCTTGTCGTTGTCATGATAATAGACACTAAGCGCCTTAAAATTGGAAGCAGAGACAATGGGCACCACAACGAGACTAGTCCTAATTTATAGGTTGAATATGCTATGCCACAAATAGAAGTGGAATACTATAAGTTACCTTGTGACCGAAACCTCTGATCATTTTGCAAACGTGATCACGGATAATTGATGAGGCTTATCGTTTAAGGAAGTCCATTGAAACTTGTAGTGTTGGACAGCAGAGTGCCGGAGTGCCACAATCAGCACAGCTCTTGCTCGGCATTTGCGAGTGGGAAGGAACTGTTGAAAGGAAGACTGGAATCAGTAAATGGACTAGTAGTATTAGTACTGACGGTATTCAAGTGTAAGCCCGGGCCGATTTATGTATTTTCCATCATAATCCCACACTGTTCATCTTGGCACGCGCCCAGGTGAGCACTTACTCGTCCCCGCACCTTTGTGCGGCATCCGATGGCTATTAGGCTCTTCTCTTGCCATTTGCAATCTCCTGGAGGCTGGTGATGGTAACCTTCGCATACTGCGCGAGCTTGAAGGAAACATTCGATCTCGACCAGCCATTGAGCTCCCGCGCAGTCTTTACGAGTGTTGTCTTGGCGCAGATTCCCGCTGGCGCGAGCATCGGGACATCGTTATCTGTACGAGAGGCGATAACCCCATCGCACATAACGACGGTGCAGACCGGAAGCCGAGTATGGAAGACAGCGAGCGTGTCGTATGCAGAAGAGGACACTAATAGTCCAGAGGCATGGCTAGAGACAATGATTGATGACGAGTATCGCTATCAATAACGAGGGAAGTTGCAAACGTCATAATAGAGTGCGTCTTCACCTTCCAGAACATATTGATATCTGTATTATACCAGTTGTACTTGTATGCCCGCCGCGCTTTCGCGTTTGTCACATCTTTGCCTTGGCAATGTTTTTCAAATACCTGACCAGATTACCGTGGCCTCTGAATGTGTTCCAGAATCGAAGTTGAGCTCAGATAATAAACCCCCGAACTTCTGAGGCAAGAACCTGATGCTTGGGGAGTCGGGGATAGGCGTCCTACGCCGCTACGACAGGTAGGATTAACGAGAGCGCGCTCTCGCAAGCTGAGTATGTCAAGTCACATCTTTGATAATTCTGATGCGATGCCGATGTGAGGCGCCCACTGGTGGCCTATAATGTTGGACTAGAACGATGAGTAGCATGTGGCTACTCCAGTGGGGGTTTACTTCACTGTTGGCTAGAGCAGTAATTGTTGTACACGCTGTGACTCTCGGGTGACTTCGATGACCAATTTTACGTCAATGATACCATAGACTTTGACCCGAACATCACGTCCTCGCACTCTACCTTCACATAAAATTTTAATCAACACTAGAAGCAACGGGCCCTTGGATATGTTCATCGACAAGACGCTGATCTTCAAGTTTTAATATTTGCGTAACGCTCTCGTATCAGATGTGAGTTCGAGTGGAGGACCGCAACTGTCAGAATTCATGAAGCTGTGTCTTTCAAAACGTCAATCCTTTGTCAAATTGCCATGCCATCACGGAAATCGGGGAAGGATGGTGTCGATGAGTTATCCAAATTCAAGAACTGGTATGGGGTTTCCTTCAATCTTACCAATTGAAGCATAGGTCCATTATACTCACTCCAACAGTAAGTCATTGATTCACCTGCGTTAAGACGTCACGGTTATCTCCTTGCGGGTTGCTGCAGGTTGCTACAATCAGTGATAACCGGACAGCCGCCGCATGCCGTTCATCAATTGACCCGTGCCTATCACCGTACGTAATGAGGAACTTGGAAAGGAACTTACCAAGTGCGCCGGCGTCAACGTCTTTGCACCATCTTCTTCTCAGTTCTGTCTCTTCCTCACCTTTACTTTTCCCATGTCCTCTACTAATCATGCTCATTTCCCTTTGAACAATCTTCGTTGGGGCAACAATAGTCATGGAACTCCTGGAACTCATACAACACACAGCAGTAAACCCCCAAAAACACCTGCACCGATGTGAGTATCCATCGTATTCGGAACATGCTTGTGAGCCCAAAACGCTCAATTTTGATGATTTCTTTGCAGATATCGACATGCTGCCCCATCCGGACCTTGGCCATGGATGGACCTCGAGTCGGACACTAAGTTAGAGACAGAACCTACTTCACCAGCAAGAGAGTCAGCGGAACAATTGAAATGGAGGGGATATCCTCAAAACTTGTTCGGTAATTGGGTCACCGATCGAATCACACGGTGCAAGATGGTCGAAAATTGTTCCAAGGACCCTCGAGAAAAATGCAGGATCTATTATGTCGATGTACTTGAAACAGGGTCATTCAAGCCGGCTCAAGATACCGGTCCACCCATTGATGTCGATGAACGCGCTTTACATAAGCTTTGGGATCATTTGCAGATACAGGTAAGGAATAGGTATGAGTTATTGCAATTTGCAAGCGAGTTGATCATATGTCTCTACAGCCGACAGGCCTTCGTCTTAGGGTGTTGCTTGTCGACAACATGAAACACCCTGTGCTTCAGATGCTGGGAACAAGGTACCATAAAGTTTTTTTCAACATGTGTCCGAGAATGAATGCAAATAGGTACAACATCGAACCGTTCTTTTTCACGTCCTCATTGAACTGGATCCCTTCTCGATACCAAGAAGAAGTTGTCAAGAAAAAAGGTGATCGTAAGTGGTTTTCATGGTCTACCCGACAGCGCGTCAAACATACCATCAGATATTACGGTCACTCTTCTGTTCGTACGCGCCGTATCATGGGGGGTGACTGCACCATCCTCGCACAACAAGCACATTTCGGGTGCGAATTCTATGCACTTCTGCAAAATTTAACTTGATCGTTTTCCAGACAATGAGAGGGCTATAGACACACAAGAGTCACTTCGTCTTCGCTCTGGTACAGTCCTCTCCCCAATTGATGGTATTATTGTTCAAAAGTTCTTAGTTCTTTCGTCAGCGGAAAAGTACCTTCTGCAAGACCTGCTCGCTCTGCATATGATAAGATCATCCGACCCTAGTGGTAGTACTATCATATCTTACCACCCAAATGCTCAGTGGGATAGGACAACCGCGGAGCGATTGAAAAATCTAGTTCACAAAGTGGGAGAGAGCGTGTATTGGCAGAAGATATTCGAACAGTCTAAGGATCCATCATTTGTCTTCTTGGCTATTCTTTGGTATGGGCTTTATGCCTGGGACGAATCCTTGGACCATCTGTACACTCATATGAACTGGCTGGTACGCTTCTTTGTCATTTGTGTCGTTCAATCATTCAAGCTACGTCATTATACAGGAAACAAACGTGCTGCTGACGAACGATAGCCACCTTACGACTGAGTTACACACTATCCAGGCTCAACTACTCCATTATGCTTCGCTTCTCGAGGATTTCCGCAAATCTGTGAATTTCGTCAGGAACACGCCGAATCCCGGTCTGGAGTCCTCCGAATTTACTGAACATTCAAGAAGGGACACGAATAAATTGATGCGCAAGGAATGCGATAACCTCCTTTCGGAAATTGACAGGCTAGGTTTCCAATTGAGAAACATCACAGACCTCGTTCGTATGTTTGCTCCGCTAGATTTGAGCACTATTAATTTCGGTGTCCAGGCTAAAGCGACTGTGAACTTTGTCGATAGTCGACGGATGCAAGATCTGACGACAGCAACAGTTCGTGATTCGGCCTCAATGAAACAGGTAGGTTGGTGTTTTAATCCGTTTGACGATACTAAATACTCGATAGATTTCCTACCTGACAATGATTTTTCTCCCTGCCAGTTTCATCGCAGTATGTCCAATGTCATTCTTTCAGTGATGTATCTGATAACTTTCTTTCAGTCGGTATTTGGAATGAATGTCAGGGAAATTATCAGCGGTGCCACGGAAACTCTAGCCAATTATGTGACTGTTTCTGTTACATTTACCGTACTCACTGCATGGCTTGTAGTTGCATTTCAAGCTCACTCGCCGTTTCACGAGTCAGGAACTGGATTCTGGCGACGGCTTGCATGGCCGGCCACATACATCATGAGATCCACAGGCCTGCGGCAGTCGCTCCGAAGTCAGCCCGTTGTAGACATTTAGACGGACTCTTTTAACACTAACAGATACATCTCCCCCTCTGTATCAAGTTTCACAGTATGATGGTTTAACGATTACGATTACGAGTATGGGACGAAATGTTGTGTTTTAGATGTAGACTTGTTTCCTACTTTCTATTTCTAGGGATCGGCGTTGCCTTGTAGAAGAGTTGCTTTCCCTCCAGGTGTTATGATTTGGTAGTCATTTTGGATGTATTTTATGGGAACGAAGGTCTCTCTACCTCTTCAAAAGTGTGCGTGCGTCACGGACTCACGGTTCCAAGGTTTCGCCACAACATATGTACCGCCCCGCACAAGCCCCGCAAGTAAGGTTAGGTTAACAACTCATTAATGTAGTCAGTATAAATGCCTCTGTTAAAAATTGGCCAGGTGATTTTGGAAAATTCTTACTTATGAGGAGTTGTAGAGTCAATATTGGCACTCTGCCAACAATACCCCGGATCAGTGCCCTGATGTGCTGTGCCTGATGCTCCTACTATTACTTCACGTAATTGAAGAATCATCAATTACTAATTATGGCCACTGGCGTACCACGCAAATATTCACAACATGATGCGCGTTGATACTTAACATGAATTTCGGACTTATCCATGTAACCCAACGTTGCGTTTCCCCAGTTGTTCCCTGCTAATTACTGTCCTCTTGGTTCAAGTTATTGTTATCTCCGTCATGGGCAGTCAGCTAGTTGATCTCGGACTCCCTGTATTCCCCCGCCAGTTGGCACTAGTAACCAAATCTGGTGTCGCGTCATCCGACACCCCGCAGACAAATTTATGGCTCGAACGATCTCGCCTCGATGGAATGATGTTAAGCGGAGTGTCCTACGGTGCGTTTTTGATCAAAAATACGACATTTCAGGAATTAATACACGTACTAGGCATATTCGCTCTCCTTACAGTACAAGCCGCGGCTGCTCTGATGCAACGGCCTCGATATGGTGGAAAAATCGCAAATAATCGCATCGTGCTTCTTTTTTACATTGTCATCACGTTTGTGCTGGGGACGATAAGCTATGCTGCGAACGCGAGATATACAGAAATGATCTGGATAGACCTTCGCGATATACCTGGTGGTCCGCTCAAGCTAATCGAGAGCTCACTAAAGTATCGCATAAATGTTATAGCACTTGCCGCGTAAGCTCCCTGCTCATCCCACCTTCAGGCCTCTAGTATTAACATCTAGTCTAGTTATTTCATCATGAGCTGGTGTATGCAAGCTTTACTTGTAAGCTGGATAGTTCGCCATTTAAACTGGTGCAAACCTGATGCTTGAGATACAAGCTTCATCGATGTTTTATAATTTGGTGTCGGGCAAGATCGGTGATGATCCCAATGATCGTCTTCTACATTGCCATGATTGGTGCAGTACACCATTTACCAAGCGAGTCATCACTGACACCTTCAGCAGCAATGTCCATTCTCATCCTGATCCAGGCGAGCACTGGTACCATATTTTTCAAGATGAACACCATGCTTCTCTACTTCTGCATGGAAATAGGGTTCACTTTGACTTATACGATTCTTGTGACGAATCGTTTACTCACCATGCGACGCCGGATGAAGCAGGCCGTGGCCCAATATAATTCTAGCACCTATGATACCGTCGTGCTCATGCTCATCGAGTCCGCCATGTTATACTCTGTTTTCTGCGTGGCTCTTATAGTTTCCATTGCGTTGAATTTTGACGGCGTCTCGAATCTATTCAACTTATCCATTACCAGCGTTCAGGTAAGCAGACAAAAGCCTGTGTGGCTTGCGTCTCTGATGCTAACTTGAACATCTGGAATTTAGGGCATTTCTCAACTGCTCATTATCATCCGTGTAGCACGGGGGCGGGCGATCACACGCGAGTGGTCGACCCGCGTCACTGCAACATCTGCAGCGCCTACGTCTATAGTATTTTTATCAGATATAACAGATGGAGTCAACATGGAGCGAATGGACACTCCAGAGCAGGATGGCGTTCCATTGTATGCTGTTCAATCGGCGAAGGCAGCCAAAGCTGAAGTGTGTATGGCATGACCTTGACCTGGTGTAAAGCTAGTTTATTTATGTATTGTACTTCAACTTCATCTATACCTGCTACGAGAGCTTATAACCCATCGAAATTCTTTGCCATTACGATAGGGATCACCCGTCATTATGCGCAATTTCATGGACAATTGACTCGTCGTCAGCTCAGAAGCAGAATTTCAAATTACCCATCTTGCGACTCAACGGATCTTTGATATTTCATCACCCCCCTTCTCCCAATTCTGCACCGCGGTTAGCATTTAAACGTTCAATTCTTACAGGAGTGTCTGAAGATGGATACAAGGCTATGACTCACGTAAACGATACCATTCCATAATATTGGCCGGCGCTTTGGCGAAGCAATGATCACGTATACGTACACGTACCACTTACGATGAACATCACGGTGCAGCCAGCGTGCGGGCCGCCGATATCTGGCTACATATAACTGGATCGCCGGTTATTTCCATAGCTCACTCTGCCGTCTTAGTGGTTTCTGGCCAATCAACTATGCTCTTAGTAGTTATCTGCATCACCGGATAGGCGCCTGGGCTATCTGCTCTCGGTATTCTCGACTGTCCCAACCTCTCACCTGGTCTTGCGCAAGCCCTGCTTGTGAGCTGAATAATTCTCTATTTAGGGTTGAGCACGGGTCGCTGAGGCCAGACCGCACCTGTCACGGTACGGGTATGAACGGTGTTTGCGGTATACCGCGGGTTTTTTCACGGACCCGTGGGTCATATAATAGACAGGCGAACAGTAATTCTTCGGATTTTTTGTATTGGATCGGTAAGGCACTGACATAATAGTATAAGCAGAAGTCTAAGTCTTACGAAGTTCCACATCTAGGTCCTCTTCGTCATAAGACCGGGCCCGTGTCTATTAACACACCTGCAGGTTCTGCCAAACTTTCTGTCATATTAGCAACAACAATTGTGCCAAATCGATTAGAGTCGTGCCCATAAGTATATGCAGGATATAAAAGTTGGCCGTTTTCCTATGATGTTTCTTCATCCTCAGAGATATCATCCGAGATCCCCCTCAGAATATTCCATAACACCTCGCACAGGAAATGCGTTTCTCCCTCCTCGCCGTTGTTGTTGCTTTGACAGCATCTATGTCTGTCAGTGCATGTGCGAATGCGGGTCAATCGGACCTGGGTGGACCTTGCACAACAGATCAGGATTGCTGCGCTACTGACAACTTGGTCTGTCACGATGATGATGTGAGTATGAGCAGGTCGCTGTGCAACCAAGGTTGAACCACATGACTCACCTGAATGCCTTAGGGTCATCAGTACTGCGGGTACTAGTCAATTGAAAATTGAGCAGGACCTTAGCCCGAGCGGCACGTTGCGACAGTGAGTCATATTTCTGCTTTCGCTTTGGTATCATGATTGATGGTACAATAACTAGTTCACCAATCAGTACTCTTGTTTTAGACAAATTTTAGTACTGCTCGAGCAATGTGAATGTTTGAATTTATCTGAAAATGATCGGCTGTGCTCAGTCTTGCTTGTGGTCCACTAAGCTTGGGTTTGAAGGATTATCGGAAGTTCGAATGCTGCTGACTCCGAGTACGATACACCTAGTCGCTTGTCGTTGTGTAGCAATCATGTGGGTTGAGAGCGGTTGACCTGCGTTGCTGCGGCATCTACATTTATAACATTCTCGAGGACTGTGTTAGATACAATCAAACATTGTGCGGGTAACTATGCTAGAGCAGGGATAGGGTACCTGGACTGTTTGCTCTCGGTATTTTCAACTGTTGCAACCTCTCCTCACCTAGTCTTGCGCAAGCCCTGCTTGTGCGCTGAATACTTCCTCATATAACCCTGTACAAGAATAATGCTTGTAATATTGAGAGTCCGTCTTGTTATACTCTGGCTTCGCTATCTCGTTCTTGTACAGGGTGACTGCATATTCAAATGATGAAGCGATGACTGAGAGATTGGATCATGACACAATATTTGTAATTCAACACAAGCACGCATGGCACGAGTATTTGCGACACCTACTTGCGTAAGTCGAATAATCTGCAGGAGTTAATCCATACATTAATATTCATAAATATGTGTCCATGAAACTTTTCTCATGTCTCACTGGATATCGATGACTCGGACGATGTACAGCTCCTAGATAAATAGGGATCCTCACACTGGGAGCTTACGGTTTATGCTTATCCGTGCTTATGCTTACAACCCCCCCCCCCCCCCCCCCCCCAGTTGTGCAGCCGTGGATTATGTAATACAATAGTAGTGCCACTCTCTCATGGCGTTAACGAGACTTGGCTGGCAGCGCTCGATAGCACTTGGCTGACACGGCAGCGGCAGCGCATGTGACTTATTTTGGTTTGTTTACGCCTACGTACGAATTGGATAGTATTGGGGGGTGTATATGGAAAGCCGGACGCGCGCGCTCCGTTACACGATGTGACATGCACCAAATGAGGTGGTCACACGATTGGGACACCGGACACCTCCTGACACCTCCCACGCAAGAAAATTATATCCCTTAGTCACATGATACAAGCCACATGGCACTTTTTCTTGGTCATGTGACAGCGTCTTATCTAAGAAGTAAAGTACAACGGTTTTCGGAAATGTTCACGTGCTTGTGTGGCTTTCGCGTATTTCACATGTTTCGTGTATCTTGCCAAAGGCCATGTGGTTTTCGCTTACCTCGCTTAACCTCGATTTGGCAGCTCGCGTGCGTGATTGTGTGAAAAGGATTGTGCGCTCGCTAAGACTAAGACTAAGTAAATAAAAAAAGTGTGAATAAACAAATTGAGTGAAATTTCTATGAAGTCTGAAAATACTGCCAAATGCGATATAGTGGACAGTAATACTCACGCCTACTGTGCCGTGGGAATGCAATGGACTGTCATATCCCGTATTCCGGACCTACATCCGATAATATTCCCACGCCTCATCTGGACCTTCGGATGTGCTATCCATGTCTCCAGTACCCATCCAGATCCCTGCACCTCTGCACATCCACATCCGCATGTCCACATCCAGATCCCTTATCCTTCGCAGCTAGCCTGCATCATTCATCCTTGTCCCATCACCCTAATGCCACATCCTATATATCCACACATCTCATCCGGACCATATCCGATCCGGTCCGATCCGATGTATAGATCCGCTTCCGATCCGATATAGATAAGCTTCCTAATTCATTTCCTGTTCTTATAATGTTATACACAGCCTATTCGGTATTTCCTCTATTCCGCTGTTTTGGTTAGATCTATTACTGGTATGCTTACTGATCCATTAACCTATGTTCATTTCCGACTCGCATTTGTTAACCTTTGCATATGCTTCGTACATAGCCTCAGACTCTGCTTATTGATCCTTCCATTATTTCTCTTAGTATATAAACTCGTGTATATGTCTTGTAGTACCTCAGTCTGAATATCATATTAGTCCTCGCACTAGTCTTCACTCTAAGTCCTCATATCAGTTCTAGTCTTCCAACTTAGTTGTTATCCATCTTAGGCCTAGGGAGTTTCTCCCTAGGCCGGAGCTCTGCTTATCCGATACTCCGCTCATCCGCTCATCCGATCCTCCGTAGTTTCCGGAAGTTCATCCGGATCTTTCCCATGGTCCTCCGGACCTATTCTGCTTCGGACTTTGTCCTTGCAGCCTTTCCTCTGTTTACTTCTACTCAGGACAAGTCCCGAGTAGCCATTATACATATCCGTATCAGGACGAAACCTCATCGTAATTTCCGGAAGTTCCTCCGGAACTTTCCCGCACTCATCCGGAAGTTACTTGCACCCGTCCAGAAAGTCCTTCCGAAGTTTCCCGCGCCTTCGGATGTCCTTCGGACGTCTTCGGATGTCTTCGGATGTCTTCGGATGTCTTTGGACTTTCCTCGGACACCAATCTGAAATTAAGGGCACATACTTGGGTAAGGGGTGCAGCGCACGAGCTGAAGCCAAGCCCCTCAGAATCAGTCCTACCCTTTGTGCATGGTCTTAACACGGACAAACAACAGACTTTTCCTACTATATGGGAAAGGCATCGAGAATAACAAAAGCAATAATAGAAATTTGATTACACAATTTGGTTACACAAATCATTACACAAATTACACAACTTGGCTGCTGCTTTTGAATAAAATTCTCGAGTTAAATTGCCTTTCCCTGCAGCCAAGTGTAATAAAGTGTGACACACTTTTGGTGGGTGTCATTTCTTATCAACAATGATAAAAGTGACTTATCAATGAGCTCAGGCAAATTTCACACTTGCTAAACAACAGTTTGGATATTATAATATAACAAAGATGGATCAAAATTTTCCTATTCCGTGAGTTGTTGACTATAAAATTGCTATGTGCAAGGTGCACGATGCTGATGTCTGCACATTTAGACAACAACCACAGATCACACCAGAACGTGACTGCCAATCGCAACGTGAACAAGATAGAATTAACAGACTTCAAATGACGTCTCCCACCAGACACAATTGCTGTTGGGCTGCCCAGGTTAATCAAGACAGACCTCCGCCTGCTGTACCACAGCCAAATTTTGCACCAGCTAATGAGCCACAAGCAGGCCCTGTTCTACGACCTTTTGCATGGCAACCTCCTGCACACTTCCCATATCAACCACTACCAGTTGAGTGATATCCTGGCTTGCCAAGAAATGTGATTGCGCATGTGGAGCATGCTCATCATCATATTCCTCCTGTTGATTATAATGCTCGCTTAAATGAGCAAATGAATGCTGCTCAAAATGATTGGCGCCGTCAGTGGAATCTCCGTCGGCAACAGGATAGAGATGAAATAAGACAGCAGGCACAGGCAGAGCTTATGGCAGCTAGAATACAGCCTCCACAGGTACCTCACATTCCTGATGAACCTGCTCCTGTGCCTCCTGCTCCTGCATATGGCCCTATTCATTATGAGGGTGCAGTTGGACCTCAGGACTTCAATGATCCCCTCCATTACTTTGTGCCTAATCCTGCACCACCTTTGCATGCTCTGCCTCAACCTGATTACCACCAGTTTAACATCCAATTTCATCACCATTTCCAGCAAGAAGAGATGGAAAATGAACGGATTAGAAATGACTTTCTTCAGAGACAAGCACAAGAGGCATTTCATCAACAGCAGATTCAGCTGGAATTGCAGCAGCAGGAAGCTAGGTGGAGAAATAGAGAGGCTCAGTATGCTTTTGAAATACAGCAGCAGGAAGTTGAGTGGCACAATAGACAAGCGCAGGAGGCTCATCGCATACAGCAGGAGGAGGCTGAGCGGGCTAATAGACAAGCTCAGGAGGCTTATCGCTTACAGCAAGAGGAGGCTGAGCAGGCTAATAGACAAGCTCAGGAGGCTTATTGCTTACAGCAAGAGGAGGCTGAGCAGGCTAATAGACAAGCTCAGGAGGCTCATCGCATACAGCAAGAAGAAGCTGAGTGGGCTGATAGACAGGCTCAGGATATTCAGCGAGCAGGTCAACAGGCAGAAGAGTGCCAACACCGCCAGGAGCAGAGGGATCGTGAGCAACAGGAGTGTCTTGAAGAGGCATTGCGCGAATATGATAATCCTGCTTCTCAGCAGCAGCATGAAGACGATGAGGAAAGAAGAAGAACTCAGGAGCAAGAACATTGCTGGCAGCACAATGCAGAGGATGATGAAAATATCAACCAGGCGCCTGTCCAAAATATCCCGATCCCAGATGGAGCTCGACCATACACAGAACCCATTGATCGTCACTCTCTTGGTCCTCTTAATGTGGAGTGCCCCAACTGCCATGCCATGCATTTTGCATGTGAGAGACTCACCAAATCATCCACACGAAACCCACGCTTTGGTACATGCTGCTTGTACTCCTGTCTTGGACCACCCGTGTCCTTAGGTGCCGTGTTCTTAGGGATGGAGACGATGAAGATCAGCAGGTCGATGAGAACACAGTTCTAATCCCTCGTATTACTATGGAATCCAGCTCTGAAGAGAACCCAATCCCCCTCAAGTGTTGCCAGTTTCCTGTTCGTCTTGCATTCACTATGACAATCAACAAGGCACAAGGTCAAAGCATCAAGTGGGTTAGCCTTAATTTGCGGACTCCTGTCTTCAGCCATGGACAACTCTATGTGGCTTTATCTCGCTGCACCCACCCAGACAGGGTGTTTGCTATCTTTCCGGAGCATGAAGAAGGCTCAAATACAACCAATGTAGTATATACAGAAGTGCTTAGAGGACTCACAGATCGTATCAATGATTGATGTACTTATATATGTATATAGAACTGACTGATCTTATGTACTGTTACAAGTAACATCGGCTACATGGCCCCCCTATCATTTTTCCCCTTCGTCCTCGCCCTCGTATGCCTCCGGCTCGTACTTCTCTACCGACTATCCGTTGACCGGATCCTCGGGACCGTTCCCGTCCCTCATCCCCCTCCTATCGCACCAATGTGCGCACGTGCCTTCAGGCTATGACTCGTTCTGACTCGTGCCACCAATGTGGCTTTCCTTATCTTGTCTTATCTTTCCTCTGACTCATGCATGCTGCGCATTGTATCATTTACCGTTGGCTCGTTCCAACGTTTCTCGGTCTCATTCCGCATTCAACCTTACATCACTAATCAGGCTCTGCTATCAGCGTACCTATACCCTTTCCGTTTCCTTTTTGCCCTTACCTACAGTACGGTAGCCTTGCCCTTAACCCTTTCCACTTAGTATAAGTAGTCGGTCACTCTGTACTAGATTCCCTAACTTGAATCTACTCAATCTTCCCTCGAACATACTTCCCTCTGAAGCCCCCTCAGCTTCAGTCTCTAGTATCTTTTCTTAGGTGCTCATCGTGCCTAAGTCTACCTCGATCGACTACTCATCGTTCGGACAAGACTGTCCTTACTTTGAGAATGTCAGTGACTTTGAAGACATCCATCTTAGAAGTCACGTGACACGCGCGTCTCTGATATCTGCCGACTCGTCGTCGCCAGTCTCAGTCGCTACACTGGACCCTTCCGGTTACATCATGAACGTTAGCGGACGACGCCCCTCTTAGGGCTCCACATAACAGATCTATTTGAGTGCGTAACATGTACTATGTACTTTTAGTTTTCTTGAAATGCTGCTCATAAATGTACCTCTTTTTGAAATCCACTATCAAGGCGTGATCTTATTCAAAATGCATGATTTATTAGGATGCAGCCTGAGGCCAGGCGTGAGCCATCCAGTGTTCGCAGTCTTGAAGCCACCAATTCCAATGAAGCCATCCATCAATGTATCAATAGTCAGCTGTCCAATGGAAGATTCAGCCGTGTCCACCAAAAATGAATGATGCTGTTTGTGTAGCAAGAGGTCGGTGGTATCGCGGGTAGGGATTGGGTGAAATTGCACACTTTCGCTATGTAGTCCAAAGACTATAAAATACTAGTAAGTGCTAATGCAATTTGAGAAATCCGTGAACGAGCATACCTTGCTTCACATTTAAGTTGGCACCTCCACCAATCTTCAAGACTTCTTTGAGCAGATCATGATCAGGTGAATGAAAAGCTGTGGGAGGTGGATTCTTCTTTCGAGGTGGAGATGAAGTACCACTGAGACTGCTAGAGCTTTTAGCACACTGGTGGGCTCTCTTGGTAGAGACCGTCACAGAATTGTTGGTGGTCACGGATGGTAAGAAAAGCTCATTTTCAGCGAGCGAAGTTGTTGCTGACGAGGGCACATTGAAACTGACGGCTGTGTGAGCAGTAGCATGTTCACTAGACTGAGTGCAGCTCGTTCGGATAGCTTCAGCTTCCTGGACCGCAAAACTAAGGTTAGGGCACTAGTAAATAGACAACATAAAATATACATACCATTTCCGCATGAAGTTCCAACCAATTCTCATATTCATTCCACTGGGCCTCTGGGACAATGACCATCAGCGCAAATTGTTTAGATTTGAAGGTCAATTTGGTGCCTTTGCAAGATGGCTGCAGGCATTGATCATAGAAATAGGGAACCAATTGCGGGTGATTGGATAGGTCCACCCATGCAGCATCTCGGATTATGAACTCCTCAACACGCCAGACAAATCCTCCATCAAATTTGCGTAACTTTGGGATGACAGTCTCCAAAGCTAGCTTGATGAGCCCAGATGCATCAATTCGAGCATCAACGTCCTTCCTACCCTCACATATGTTCTAGTAAGCTGAAGTGTAAGTAAGTCAAAGCACATTTTAAGATGTAAACGTACTCCAATAGCAACAACTCGTTTTTTGTGTGCTCCGGCACCTTCGTGAACCACAGTAATTTCAAGTAAAATGGTCTCTGCTAGAGACGAAGCATATGCCATTTTCCCCCAGCGGTCACGCTCAGCAGCATAAAGTGCGTGTTGCGACGAATACTCAATGGCACCTTGTTGTGACGAATGCTGGATGGATGATGAACCTTGCGGCCCTTGCCATGATGTAGGGATTCTAATATCTGGCCCTCTAGGACAAAAGCCACCAGGTACAGCGATGACAGGAGGCGGATTAGGTGTCACTGTGATAAATCAGATCATAAATCTCAACAGTAACACAAATCTTGACTAGTGCTGCCGCGGTCCAGTCCAGAACCATGGTTTGAACCGGACTTTTGGTCTGGTTCTCTGTGGTTCGGTCCACGGTTCTCACACCAGCCAGAACCGGACCGGAAAACGGTTCTCGGTTCTAGGTTTGCCCAAACGGTCCCGTTCTGGTTCGGCCTTGCTGAACCATTCCGAACCGTTATCGACTTTGACTGCGACTTTGACTTTGACTGCGACAACTTCGGTCTCCACGTCAAACTGTTGTCTTCGGGATTTGCATTATTGGTTAACCAGGCTACCTTTAGCCTTTTTAAAGGTAAGTACTAATCAATCAAACTCTCACATGACTTGCTGTCACAATGTGCCGCTGACTCAATGTTCAACCAACTACTGGCAGAATCTGTCAAGGCGCGCATCATACTCAGCACATGCTTCCGAACAAGCACCTTCAGTCTCTTTTCAATTTCCTGCCTTCAATGTAGTTCCCAATACCCTTTGGCTCAGGTGACACTGCAATCAGCCAGTTCTTCACATTCAATGCTCTCTTCGCCATGAATGATGTGACCTTGATCGTGAGTACTAATTCTATCCTTGTTTGAGCTCGAGCCATGCTGATCTAAGTTGTTGCCCATCGTTCGCAGTCTGTGAGTGTGTCAGTCCTCGTTCAAATTTTAGCTATGGTTCACCTCTCATGCCAACCTAACTCCCAGTGCCCTCTTACTTCCTTTGGCACCCTCTCGCTACCTTTGGAGCCCTCTCACCATCAAGTTCAGCGCCTTCTCGCTACCTTCAGCATCCTCCCACTACCTCTTTGACTCAGGGACTGGTGCTCAATCTCATCCCCTCTCACTCGCTTGCTGTTCTTGCTGGCTGGCTCGCCATGTCTCACTCACCCACTGTCTCTCGCTCACTGTCTCACATGCTCGCTGGCTGCTCTCACCCACTGTCTCTCACCCTTTGTCTCTCACCCTCTGTCTCTCGCCCGCTGTATCTCACCCTGCTGTCTCTCACTCGAGATGCGCAGGTGTTCACATTCCCCACTAACATCGACGGTAAGCATTGGTTGTTATTGTGTTTTATTTCATTCTCACCATTTTGTATAGATCAAATCAGTTAGCTCTTGGATCAGCGGCTACAGAGGCAGAGGGGGGTATGTAGCCATGTCATTGGAGTAGCTACTCAATGTGTAAACTAGTATTTCAATGATATTTTTTTCGTGCTCACCACTGAAAATTTTCGGGTTCGGTTCAAGTTTGGACCAGAAAAAAACCAAACCGGACCACAGAGAACAGTTCTCTGTGGTCCGGTTCTCAGTTCTCGTCCAGGACCCTCTGAACCGGACCGAACCGGACCACGGCAGCACTAATCTTGACTTACATCTTCCTTGCGCCGCATTCACCAATTGTTGTATTGTACATGGATCAGGAGGGGCGCGGCCTTGTGATTGTAAGGTTCGACTACCTGAGTCAGTAGTCTGTAAGCCAGCCACTCGTCAATTAGATGGTGATCACATACCTGTAGGTCTCACTGAAGTAGCTTGTTTATTCTCATAATGCAAGTGGCAGGATTCATACACATAGCACCCACGTTGACCTGGCTCGATGGTCACAATATAAAAACATGGCTCTCCAGTCCTAATGTTAGCCATGCAAGATGGATGATTGCAAATTCGATCCTCTTTGGCGTAGGCATCCTCGGTGTACTGAGTGAGAAGTTCATAGTCTGACATGGCACTCTGAAGGTAGTCTGCCAAGTGCATGCTAGACAGCTTAAATATCTCATGACCTGGAGATTTATGATGTAGTACATTGGGTGGTGATGAGCACTTGAGGAAAGTCTGTATCATCATGAGGAACTGGCACCTCCAGAGACACTAAGGAACAGTTTGAAAGAGTTAGATAGAGAATCATGAATCATATGGAACCGGTACCTCAAAAGACACTATGGAACAATCTGAAAGAGTTGAATCTGAAACGCGCAGCCCAAGAATGCTTTGGCGCCTCCAGAGACACTAAGGAGCAGTTTGAAAGAGTTAGATAGAGAATCATGAATCATATGAAACTGGCACCTCAAAAGACACTGGAACAATCTGAAAGAGTTGAATCTGAAATGTACAGCCCAAGAATGCTTTGGACTGCGGACAACATTTCTTAGTTCAATTAGTGGTAGTTGCAAGCCCTAACTCACTGAGAATCAGAACATTTGGAACATTTGGAACGTCCAGCCCAAGTAGTTACTGAACTTGACTTAGGAAGATGTGAGGCACAAGGAGGGCATTAGTGGGATGAGCGGGGCATGAGTGGCGCAAGGCCGGGCACGAATTCCGTGAATTCCCATGTTGCCGCAGCACAAACTTCTTCTAGTCAGGGGCCACTGAACTAGGTAAGTCCAAAGGAAATCACCATTAATATAAAGTGTGACCCTGCAAGCCTCAGAGTGAGCATGTTGCAATGCCCAACCAGAACAAACCTACACGTATGTACCTTTCAACTTGAAGTCACTCCCACTAGGCATTTGAACACTCTAAGTGGCCCCGCTGGACGAAATCGCACCTCATATCCTTCGCCTCTGGAAGGCCCACCAGACTGATCGGCAGATTATCCAGGAATTGCAAAAACACATCCACACGACTCACTATGGTATCGGGTGAGTAGTGTTTAAATCTAGTTATTTAGGTGTTAAATAATTATACACTAGGCTTACCACACTTTTGAAAGTTCGAAAGACAATGGGTCTTCAACGTATCCATCAACAGTGTCACACAGTCGAAACCATTCGTGATGCAATGCTCGATTTATGTGCTACATATCCGAATGCTGGTGCATGTGAAATGGTGAGTCTACTATACCATGAACGGGAAATGAGTGTTGCTAGGTGAGTTATCTTTACATTGTGAGGACCAATTTTACTGACCTACGAGTTTCGCATCCTAGGAGGGTTGTGACAGAGTACTTTGCTTTGTACGAACCGGAACTTGTTTGTCAGTGCAAGGCTTGTCGCCTTCGAAGGAGACGCTTCTGGGCAGCTGGCATGAATGATTTATTCACAGTCGATCAGCATGACAAGTGGCTCAGATTCAGTCTTGGGCTGCATACTGGCATTGAGCCTTTCTCTGGTCGTATAATGTGGATTCGGGTCTGGCATTCCAACCGAAATCTGCAGCTCATTCTGAGTTACTACCTTAACACAATCGAGGTTCTCGGTTGTAAGTGTTTCACGTTTTAAAGCACAAACATACTAAGTTCAACTTAAATTTTAGATATGCCAATGGTCACTCAAAGTGACCCAGGGTCCGAAAACTATGGGATTGCAAACGCGCATACCATGCTGTGACAGTATCACGACAAAGCTTTACATGGTACGCTCCAGCATCGTTGGATGCGAACGAAGAAGAATGTTATGCCAGAGATCGCACGGTCTCAACTGCGCCGGTGGTTCACACCTGGATTCGAGAATCTTCTTGATCATGGTGTCAATTCTGGTTGGTATGATTCAAATAATACCCTTCAAGTGTGTGTCATTTTTCTCCTGTTTGAGTGTTAGTTGTAATATTTGTTTGCAGGATGGTTTTCCGTTGGGTTTTCATACCGTGGCTTCAGCAGGAGCTCGATGCATATCAGGATCGTATTAACAATACTGCCAAGCAGCACGACCACAACAAAGTACATGCCTGTGGTTTTACTCTCAATAAGTATGGTTTTACATTGACACGTCATCCAGATTCTTCCTCATGGAGTACCCAATCTTATCTACCATTCAGCTGAAGATTTTGGAGCATTGGATTTCAAGGTACGTGCTACATCAATTTGGTTGTTGTCAATAGTACTCTAATATTGGTACTATCATAGATTCAAATTGAACCCAAGGCCCTAGACTTTGTCTGAAGTCTTTACATCAAGCCCTCTCATTGCATGTTTGACCTGGTCCCAGAGGGTTTCAGCAAATGCATCCAGCATTGCTACAATGATCTCGGTCGCCCAGTTATCACACGACAATCAGTCTGGGACACATATCGGCTTCTGCTAGATGCCCTCCAGCTTGCTGACAAGTTACCAAGTGAAATTCAGCTGCAGGATGATGAAGATGAAGATTTTGTTCCACTTTTAGATGACTATCAAGACTTACCTTCTTGCGAGGATCCCAATGGCACCTATTATATGGGTGGTGTGGGCGGAGGACTTGGCCTTGGTTTGTCATCTCCAATCCTGACAGTCTAAACACTGATGTATTTGCTAGACACTGAACACTGTCGTCAACTAGATGTTCTTTCACACAGTGATGAGCTGGATATCACAACATGGATTGACGAAAGCTTGGTCGGTCTTGATCACACTGGTTTGGTGGTTTGGGAGTTCTCGGATTGTGAAAGTAACGATGAAATGGTAGATGGATGGTGATTTTTCTTCGTCGTGTATATATCTAGTTACCTACACCTCTTGTTCTTGGACAATTTAAACTAGGAGTACACAGGGTCCTACTGCCTGTTATGGATGTGTGACACTTAATAATGAGCGCGCGCGTCTGGCTTTCCATAGGTGTAAGCATAAGCATGGATAAGCATAAACCATAAGCTCCCAGGTATGAGGATCCCTAATATGACCAGATCAACGCTGATCTAGAGCTCCAGCATTGAAAACTCCCAAGAGTTTTTAATCAATACTGAGTAACAACTCATTTTAAATTTATCATATCAACCACTTCAAAGGGGCGGCACCCAACTTTGAATTATCTCATGCACGCTTCAATTCCATCATCGTCCGACTCTACTCATGATGCTATTCATCATCTGCACGCTACATACCTGTCCAATAAATTCAGTTTATTCATCAATTACTCGAACTCCGGCGTAAGCGACTACATACCGGCCGTCTGGGCACGCAATCTCAGTCCCAAGGTCCTTGCCTCCTGCCCCCTTTAACAAACCGTATCTCAGCTCCTTCAAGGAGAAAAGCCTACTGACGGCACCAACAGTCGACATAAACCTCCACATCCATGGAGGGTACAAGCACCCTACATTCGCCTTCCCAGCATCCACCCACAGGACTTCACCACGAGTGGTCTGCGCTAATGCCTGCATCCGCGTGGAATGGACCCAACTCCATAGCAAGGGTTAGGAAACATGGGACTTATCAAGTTCGTGTCACCAGCCAACACCTGTTGTCATCAGCTCAATGACAGGCATCTTCGACCTTGTCTTCCTCATCGGATATGTCAGCGCTCGTGTATGAGAATATCGGCATGTCAGGCAGAGGGGAGGGTTATACTTACCTGCTACATCCACTGTTATAGCATGATACGCAGAAGGGAGCAGCAGGGGGAAAAATATGGCGTGGATTGGGAGTACCATTTCGGATCATGCCCATAGCTGATGTCTTCTTCCAGGCATCTTTTCCCGTGTCCATCTCATAAGGTAGACTCAACCGTCCCTTCGTCTGGCTTACGAAGGCAGTCACAGGATAGCCCGACTGCAAATCGATACGCCGATCGCCAACAGCTGTTTGATTTCTTGTGTCAGTTCCATAACTTGACCCCATCGAAAGATCAGCATTTTTGTCCATGTCTTGATTTGTACACAGGGATGCTGACACTTGGCGACATCGGACATTATCATAATTAATGGCCGTCGGTCGCAGCAAGCTCAGATCTCACACAGGATTCAGCTTGTTAGACTAATCAGAAAGGCGGGTGTTTTCTCATGGTCCTCTTTAGACGCTCTCTCGTACATTGATAAGATACACATGAAAAGGCTTCAGGTTACACTGAAGACCATGGCATAAGCGACATCCAAGGCTGCAAATTTCTCCTTGGACCTAATACAGACATCTTGTAAGTTGATTTCTCCTTTGTTTCACAATAGCGTCATCTCAGTCCCTTGAAAAGATGCGTTTAGATTCTAGAGGATAATGCAGGCAGTCGATGAACTTGTTGTTTAGTGAAAACAAGAATGATGCAGTTCTAACCATAGGCCCCGTGGATGCACAGAGCACATGGATGATAGATCACGATATCCACCCTTGGCTTACAATCCAGAGCCATAGTAACCTGTACACTGTCTTTCAAAGAATGAAAACTTTCAACTGCTTGATTTCGAAGGTTATTATGTACCAATAGGCCAGTTTTAGTTATCAACGGGTGTCACTGACGTTAAGAGGGGCGTTCATTGCATTTATATATCATGTAACACTGAGATGACAATAAATTGGATCTTTTAAAAAAGAACGACACAAGTTGAGATAAACTGTAGAGCTGAGCTCAGCAGAGTGCTATGTAGAGCATACCCAACCTCAATCACTTGAATTGGACCAAGAAAATTATCAAACCATTAGATCTCACCACCACCTCAGCTGGGGGAGACATGCTTCAAATACCCGTACACCATAGCAGAGAAAGCGCTATATTTCGTGATCATGCAACCAATTCATACAATTCCACCTCCTGAAACTACCTCAACAGACCACTCAAGAAACGTACTGAGACACATTAGCTCGACATCGGAACACCATCTGTGTTGTGTTGCACTGTTTGTTGTTGAGGTTGTGCTGAAGATGACGGATCAGCAGAATTGCTGCCACAAAATAACATCTAAACATACGCAGACAATGCTCTAAAGCAATTTTAACAATTGTGTCGACCAACTCCATTTTTTGGGAGTCATGAATAGATTGTTTTCCTGTCTGGAAGTGTCCAAACAATCACTTGACTTTTGAAGTAGATGAGTGTCCTTGGAATGCGTGGACGGCTACACTCACACCTTCCCTGACAGCAGCAGCATGCGGAGATGGCATGTACTGCTCCAGAGTGACATAAAAAGAGGAATCAGAATTCTGCCTGTCTTGAAGATAGTGCCACTGGTCAAAAATATAGAAAGAGTGCTCAAAGATAATGACAGCAGCTAAACGGTCAACAATAGGGAGAATTTGTCATGACGTAGCATCAAAATTCACCAGAAACGAGCTGAACAATATTCTCCAAGGGTGATGAGCCGGAGGTCTGGCAGATTTGCAACATGAGAAATGTGTACAATCTGCCACCGATTGGACATACCACAGAAAGTAACTTGGATTGTATCACCACACAGTGATTGTCCTCAAGGGCTTCCTATTCCTGGGTCAGCATGGCTCGAGCTCGATGAGTATCGACAGACTCACTCCCTGCAAATGGTGGGCAATGACTTGGATCAGCATGGCTGTTGCTCGAATGAGGATCAACAGACTCACCATCTGCAAACGGTGGGAAACAACTTGGATCAGCATGGCTGTTGCTCGAATGAGGCTTGACGGACTCACATCCTGCGAACGGTGGGAAACGACTTGGATCAACATGGCTGTTGCTTGAATGAGGATTGATGGACTCACTCTCTGCGAATAGTGGGCAATGACTTGGATCAGCATGGCTCTTGCTCGAATGAGGATTAAAAGACGTACTGCCTACAAGCAAACACTCAACATAAATGAGAGCAACCTTTGAACTTTCCAATAATCTTACCCAAATATGAGGAAACCAGGCGCCCAAGGTCCCTACTATCTCCTTGTATCCTTCAGTCATACTCTTTGCAGAGTCAGGATGTTTTGGGAGTGTTCTGGACAATATCAGTTGTAACACTTGCAGCAGGCGAATGAGACCATGAGTACCTCTCAATTGCATATCTCATGCAGATCTCCAAGTTAGTCTGCTGGGTTGAGACGAATAGTTGCTCCAGCATTTCATCGTTCAAAGTTCCAGCCATGCATTCAATCAGCGCCCCACAATCTACATTATCCTCATTCATATCTGATGGATCAACGGTCATCATGTATCGCAACTAGACCATGAACCGACTTACTAGGAAGGCACACATGACCTTTTGGAGGCCATTTGATGCTCTTGAGAAACTTCAATTGGGGTCCATCTGGAAATGTTTCATCGGCATGTTTCAGGGCCAGTTCTTGAGTGTCTTTCCGTGATTTTCCTTCCTTTTTCAGTTGTGAGTATGCTACATTGTAGAGGGCATTGAACTTGGTGAACACTATGATCACTGGAACTGAGCATTGTGATTCTGCGCATCAGTCTAATGTCAACAAGGGTGGGATGCGAAAGTTTACCGCTTCCTGTGTTGCACTCATAGAAGAATTTCTTCTCAGCTGCAGTGAATGACCTATGTGCTTCATCCATTGGGATGCAGTACTTATGTTGAAACCATGAGATAGCCTACGTCGTGAATGACCGATTGCAATTACCAGATGGCATGGAGTCGATTTGTTAATTTGGTTTTCTTGGAACGGGCAGCGATAAATTCCTTGACCTTGATAAATTCTGATTCACCGCCTGCCTCAAACCCATGTGAATCATGAAAAATATATGAAGCCCGGATTGCTTTGAAACACTATTTCATTCTCAATATCGTGCAGTCCACGCTGAGAGCACGTCAGTTCAGGTTATTGACTAAGAGCACAACTCACCTATCTGGAGGCCGCTAAGACTGCAAAATCGATCTGATGTCAATGTGTCAGCCCATACTGTTGATTTCATAGATTAAAACTGGACTACTATCCATAAAGTCATATATATAATCCTGTGTAATTATCCACTGTCCAGTTGGATGTATCACTGAGGAGAATCATTCATGGAAGCTTGCCAGCTTACAAATCACTAGCACCCAGAAATACAGGGCCTTCCCCACACCGCATTTTTGGCCACCTACTGTGGGAATTACCCCACAACACCAAAAACATCGCCCATTTTTGGAAATCTCCACAATATCAATTGTTCTCACACCCTCCCCACCTCACTGCAGCTTCACCACTACACCACAATAGGTCTTCCCTTGTATCTAAGTAGTAGTTTGGCACATATATGTATAATATAATATAATAGACCACTTTTTTTGTTTATTTGTGTGACTGCTCCTCCTCCAGGGGCAATTAAACATAGGGTAAGATAGAAAACACTTTCACATTTTTGCCCCTTTGATGGGGAAGTGTTATATAATATTCAGAACATGTTTATGAGTATATATGGAGACATTCCCATCTTTATTTGACCCCCTGAGGCATCCTACATCAATAGATATAGCATATATATATAGGAAAACACAAAATATGTTCCCATTTGATTATTTTTAGATGGATGGACTTGGAAAAATTATCGGGTCTATTCTTATGTATATTTGGAGTATATTTATCATATAGCTGGCCAAGGACACACATAGGATCTTGCTACAGAAACAAAAACATAGAAAAACATATTTTTGACATTTTTGATGTTTTTCAGTAGCTTGCTCTTGCATATATAATCCAGCCTATTCATGTATCATTATAATAGCATCTATACTTGCTTTTGTGACAAGGATCAGCCCTATATAGGGCGCAAATTTGAGATCTGATGTATAGAAGGTATTTCTACTGATAAGAAGCCCATATAGTAATCAAACCTATGATAAGTGATCTGAGACCTAGGATACCTCTTGTATATGTCCCTAATGATGACTATGAAGTTTTAGAAAGATCCATGAAGGACTGACTGAATGACAAAGAAAATGACATATGTGTGAAAACTGACAATTGACATCTTTTGACACAAAGTCATATTTATATATAGTACAAGTCAAATATTTCATTGAAATATATAGGATACATGGTAGACTACTAAAGGAACCTATACTACATACTGCCCTGAGGTTGGAGGGTGGTGGAAGGGGTGTGGTGTATATCTGAGTTGACCTAGCATTAAAGTCCTACCACTACCCAATTGACCATTTTCGATGTTTTGGGTCTTTGAACTTTCCCACAATCAATTTCTTATCTATTTCACTTCCTCAGCACTCAATTTTGGTTGGGTTGGTTTTTAAATTTAGCCATATGATACTGAATATATTTGAAATCTACTCCAAGTGTCTGATTATTAAATTTCGATGTTTTGACAATATGGCCTCCTTATCAGTAGCAATATCATTTGTACACCAGATCTCAAATTTGCGCCCTATATAGGGCTGATCCTTGTCACAAAAGCAAGTATAGATGCTATTATAATGATACATGAATAGGCTGGATTATATATGCAAGAGCAAGCTACTGAAAAACATCAAAAATGTCAAAAATATGTTTTTCTATGTTTTTGTTTCTGTAGCAAGATCCTATGTGTGTCCTTGGCCAGCTATATGATAAATATACTCCAAATATACATAAGAATAGACCCGATAATTTTTCCAAGTCCATCCATCTAAAAATAATCAAATGGGAACATATTTTGTGTTTTCCTATATATATATGCTATATCTATTGATGTAGGATGCCTCAGGGGGTCAAATAAAGATGGGAATGTCTCCATATATACTCATAAACATGTTCTGAATATTATATAACACTTCCCCATCAAAGGGGCAAAAATGTGAAAGTGTTTTCTATCTTACCCTATGTTTAATTGCCCCTGGAGGAGGAGCAGTCACACAAATAAACAAAAAAAGTGGTCTATTATATTATATTATACATATATGTGCCAAACTACTACTTAGATACAAGGGAAGACCTATTGTGGTGTAGTGGTGAAGCTGCAGTGAGGTGGGGAGGGTGTGAGAACAATTGATATTGTGGAGATTTCCAAAAATGGGCGATGTTTTTGGTGTTGTGGGGTAATTCCCACAGTAGGTGGCCAAAAATGCGGTGTGGGGAAGGCCCTGATATGAGGAGATGACCAAATGTCTGGAATGACAAACAGCTGAGTTTCAAAAATGCCAAAAATTGCGGCAGTGCATATCAGGTGCGTGGCAATGAATAACCAGACAGGATGTATCCTAGATTTGTGGATAACTATAGTAGATTATGTATCATAATTTATAGATCATTAGCCACTTGGATATATCATTCTGCCATAATGTGGTGAATGTGTCAGTACCATCTTCCTGCCTAGTAGCGATGTGATGGGCCCACCTTTACCCCAGCGCTGTTGTATATTTCTGGGTTGTCCTGTGTGTTGCAAACTCTTTGTAGGATGGTAGTTTTTCCTGCATTCGCTCTTCTTACAACAAGGATTTGAAAGCAGCGGATTTTCTTTCTTATCTCTGAAGTATCCATGGGGGAAGGTGAACTTGAAGGTGACTGATGGATGAGCCCCAGTGAAAACCCACTGTTCTGAAAATGGCTGAAGGTTGTGCGAGGTTGTGTGTGAATTTGAGAAGCCTTTGAGATTGTGCGACATTAGCTGGCAAAGTTCATACTAATAATAGCACAGGTCTGAATTGGTTCCATGGACATACCACACACATATATATATCATGCTTCATATCACAATATCCCATATTTCTTTCTTCCTCCCCCCACCATGGTGTCTCGCGCTCATCCAAGGACCGACCTTAGTAATCATTGCAGTGTGTGAACCCGGCAAATACCCAACCCGAAGCCAGCCTATCTGGGCAGTGGGCAATATTACTATTGGTATCAGAGCTGTGTACCTTGAGGCAGCTGCATGTAAGGGCATCAGCCATATTTGAAATTAGTGTCACAATCACATATCTATCTTGTTATTTGACTAGGTCAAAATCGTAACAAACTCAGTGACAGCTTTCACATTGGGGTTGTTAATATTTAGGATAGGCTTACATGTTGTACGAAATGTGAAGAAAATATTTGGAGTTTGAACTGACATAAAGAGGGACATATAACTTCAAATTTAGTCATCGTTGTGCATGAAATCAAAAATATGAAATATCCACGGTCATTTTTTCACTGACTATATGTCAACACAAATAAGAAATATAATTGGATTTTCAGCGTCTGCTTGAATTTTAAATTTAATTATCACATCAAACTTGGTATGAAACTTGAAGTTTAATCCACCGCTATATGCTTGCCAATATTTTAAGTTTCATCGAACAATAAGGGACTACCAAAAACTTGAAATTTACGCTGGCAACAAAATGTGATGGCAAAACTTCAAGTTTTGCCTTCGGACAAAATAAATCGCCCGATCATCGCCCGCTCATCACTCAATCGTCGCCCACTCACGAAGGACAAATGGCAATCAGACTAAAATTAATATCTTCATTATCATACAAGTATAGTACGGCAAAAACTATGTCTGAGTCCAAACTACGCCAAACTCGTAAGTATGAATGAGAAAGGGAGTGAGGGAACTCTTACTTGATGCTCTTGTCATGAAATCGTAGCTTGCTGCCGAAATGTTGCGCATGATCTTGTTAGTAGCAGGTTGAAATTTAAGGGAGCGCTTCCATTGTGTGGAGGTCATTGGACCATTGGCGTCCTTGATGAGCGAATGTCGCATGCGAGAAACCCCTTCTTGAAGATTGCTAAGACGTCCTTGGAACCAGTCTTCACAGCGAGCAGACCAAAAACCAACATTTAAGCCCGATGCATTCCAAGCATTGGGCCGAGGCCACCATGAAACTATCTCTGGACCGTCACCTAGAAAGTGTGACCATTAGTACCGATGGGACTGAACTATAGAAAGCTTACGGAGGTCTATGCAGTACGTTCCACACATAAAATCAACCTCCTCCTCTGACAATCCATTGTCATAGTAAGTCTGACCGCCATTGCCAATCAATAGCTCGCCAAACGGAACGGCTTCAGTTGAAATACCGTCGAGGACAGATGGAAGGTGGTTGAAACCAAGGCTGTGCAAGGCCAACCACCATATGAGTCCTCCATGGAGGAACGCAGCCCTTGCCTGGGGACAATTCATGAACTCATGGCGTAGCTGCTCATACACAATATAATCAGCATATACGGGATTAAAGGGGAGTTGTCGATGCCCTAACGTGTAGGTACAAAGTTCAGAAAGGAGGCGACACTGGTTGGGCGCGACACTCATTCGCTGTAAGGTCCTGAATCCGATGCCTCTTTGAAGCAAAGCTAATGCGATCTGCTTCATGTCTGAGCCCCAATCACGGCGCAGGCACATAACAGCAGTGACGGGGTTGAGGACAGCCAGAGTCCAGACTACAAGATTTGGGGACCCATGGGGCTCGATTATATAATACCGACATTGCGATAGCTGCGCGTGCGAGATACGAATGTAAGGATGTGAAATTTGTAGAGCCAGGAGGGGTCCAAGATCCCAAAGGTCAGGTGGGATTGTGTTCAAGTCAGACTCTTTCATGTTGATGAAACATGCAATGAACTTCGTGATGCATTGACGTTGTGGCTCTGTGAGCGAACCCATTTCTGCCGACGAATCACCAAGGAGCTTGCGAAGTTGCTCCCATCTGGCCATTTTAATCCAGTTGTTCACTGGTAGGAATAATATGGTGGGAGCAGAGGTAGGGGCAGTGCTTCGATATCCGAAGTGATAATGCAATACAGGAATGAAACCTTCGATGTGTGTATGTCTTGATGAAAGTGAAACGTCGCTGCCGAAGTATGTGTATACATCATTGGCAAAACTGGAAGGGGGTGGAGGTGGAACCTCGGAAGAGGAGATCATCACCGTCCGGGATGCTAGTGGGGTTGAGTGCGAGACATAAGTCCCATTGATTGGAAAAAGAATCAAAGATCTTGGTAAATTTGTTATAGTCTCCCCAGACCTCCTCAACCCTAGCCTTTGTGATGTGAGTGCGCAACATGAAATCTTTGTAATCATCTTGGGGTTGCCATTCAAACACCCAAATTCTACTGGACTTGCCGGGAAGGCTGTGATTCTCGGCCAAACGTTGACGACTCAGACAAGCCTGTCATTGAGACAGGGTCTCCATCTCCTCCTTCTTCGCGTTCTGCAAGGCTTTGTGCACAAAAAACACCTGCCAATCTTTGCCATGCCTCTGCCCACTATTTTTATGGGGAAGGGGAAAATGAGAGAGGTCTTGTTGAGGTTGAGTGGACAATGGTGCTGGCTGGCTCGACTCGGGGTCACACATATAATTTGACTGGGTGAGCCAAGAATGAGAATCGGGCTGAATGCCCCACACGTCGTTGTTCTGCAATTCGCTCGAAGTAGCGCAAGTCGCTCCAGCGAGATCGTCTGCCGAGGGGTGGTAGCGCTTCCACACCTTGTTGCTGGAAACGTCAGGAGGCCAATGCACCCAGATCGGAACTTTATAGTGTTCAAACATGATTATGTCCGTGTCCCAGGCCAGACTATAAGCACTATTAATGATCATACCATTGTGTGGTACGGTATCTGTAAGATCCCCGACAAATGTGTGAGAAAGTTCCATCACCCATGCAGATAGGATAGGACATCGAGGGTCGTTTATTAAAAGAGAAGTCCAAGAGGGGGATTCGTTATGGGGTCGATACCGGCGAGTCATAATAAAGTACGTGCAGAGAGCTGAGATCCCTGAAAATAAATGCAATCAGCCATGGTCAGCGCATATAGATGAAGAACATACCTAAGAATGCATTGCGAGATCTCAGAGCGACCTTCTTTGCAAGCCTCGCATCGGCATGGGACCTCAGGTACCTGTAGTCTTTGGGAGGTCTTGGGGCTTGGCCGTACCAAGGGAAATGCATGTTCACTGCTAATCATTGCGAGCACCACAGTAATTTCTGCTCTAGACTCTCCCATTCTTGCCGAATGTCTCCACACAAGATATAGTGGCCGTCGGGTGTAGACTCTATGGGCAAAGAGTAGAGCGAATGATTGAGGCATGCAAAGACAGCTCCACCAAAATTAGGGCTTGCCGCGATAAATGGAAACCATGGGCGTGTCTCATAAGCCCACTGAGTGGTCAATGTGTCTTTGATGTTGTCAGACGAAGAATCGGATTCAAGTATGGGATTCCAGGGTCGAGGGATAGGAGGGATTGTGTCAGGAAGCGAGGATGCATTTAAGGATGTAAAAATTCGCCCTTCATGCATGAATACATGGAGCTTGGGAGTCGCCATGGGTGCCATAGTACCTTGCGATTAGTGGGAGGAGTGGGCGAAGGAAGAAAGTGTGTAACAGTACAAACCATTGCACATGACAGGCCAAGAATTGGTTCGAGAGGACACAGCAACAGTACAGACCATTGCAGGATCGAGAGAATGCGGAGAGCAATAGTTGCACGCAGCCAATAATGCCAGAACAAGCCTTGCAGCGGGGTTTAAATCTGAGGTGCCTAGTATACGCCGGACAGAGGTAGTCGCATAGAACACGCCAACACCTAGCAGTACAGACCGCTAGGTGATGAGAGTCCGAGTCAAAGAGAAGAGAAGAGAAGACTCAGCAATGCTGAGCCCTAAATATAGATGGTACTAGGAGTATGGGTTGATTGAGAGTTTGAGTCAGTTGAGTTTGCTTTGCACGTGACTTTGTTTGCAAATGTTTGTACTTTCTGACGAATTGATTCAGCCCTTACACTTACTGTTATCTATACTTAGCTTATACCTTGGGCCTCAACCTCTGCCTGGCGCAACGGTCTGTACTGTTGCGTTGTAGAGACTCGCGCGTCTCAATGCCGAGTATCCGGCCTTTATCCATACATTCCTATATGATCCAGCTCAAATCCAAAGGACCAGTCTTGCGCGCACTTGCACGCGCCCTATTTACGCTCGCGTGCACTTAGGCATGCCTTACCTGCGCTTGCGCTATGCGCGCTTCGCACACAGGTTCGTGCACCTCCTCCTAGGTCTTCGCGCTATTGTCTGTCCATTCGTCCCATGTCCTTACTGATTTGCTGGTGCATTATTCCTATCTCCTTCATTGAACTAACGAAATGTTTGGTCCGACGTCCGTGCTACATATAGAAAGTCTATTTAAACTTAGTTATAATTAGAGTTGATATGGTTACTCGGTTCGGGAGCGCGCTCGTAAGCGTGCCGCATAGTGTAATCTCCATTCTTAAATACAGAAGGGAATCTTTTGGTTCTGGTACTTACTTTCTCCTTATTTTTGTGTACTGGAAAGTGTATAGATCGCCTCCTCACTTGATATCTGATCTGATTCTCCTGTCAACCATCTATCTGTGCATCCACTCTTCAAATAGGATCTTTCCCTTAATGTTCTAGGCGCGCCTTCGTTTCGCGCGCGCACGCATTCTCGAACCTCCCGCTCACGCGCGCGTTACCTTCTCGCACTTGTTAGTGCCTGCCTAGCTCATACAGTTTCCCTCCATTTTTATTTCGAGGAACTTCTCTCAGTGGTTGTCCTTTGGGTCGAGTCATTGTCTCGTATCCTGGTCTTGCTGTAGAGCACCCATTTGTTTTAAGTGTTTTCACCTATAGTCAAGATTCCTCATCTACAGCGTCATCTCTCATCCTCTCATCCTCCTTCGACACAATGGTGGACTTCAACTTTGACTTGTCGACATGATGGTCTGTACTGTCGCGTCATCCCTCATCCTCTCCTCCTTCAACAAAACAGTGGACTTCGACTTGTCGACGCGATGGTCTGTACTGTCGCATTTCTGTACTTCGACTGGTGGATTCGATGTTCTGTACTGTCATCGCATCGTCCCTTATTCTCTCCTTTGACGCGATGGTCTGTACTGCGGTGTCTGCTGGACTTCTACTGGCGGATGCGACGGTCTGTGATACTGTCACATCATCCCTTATCCTCTCCTCCTCTGATATGATGGTCTGTACTGTCGTGTCTGCTGGAGTTTGACTGGGTTTATCGCCCTGGACTCCTCATGACACGGGGCACTCACAAATTTGAGGGGTGCGTTTGAGTGCATTTGAGATGTAAGCTGGTATGTACCTGCTTAATCACGTCGTTGTCCTGACTTATTGCAAGGAGACAGGTGCACCAAACAGGGTTCTGATGGCAGGTCCTTGACACGTCAGTATGTACTGCCGTGTCATCCTGGAGTCACTTCAATCGAGCCCTAGTGCAAATTCGAGGGATAAATTCGAAACACAGGCTGGTATGTACTCACTTTAATTCCATCGTCATCCTGACTTTAATTTCGTCATACAGCGCTGTCATCTGCCCACTCTCGTGCTGCACGCTCAATATCTCCAGGAGTACCGTACATTACACCCTCCCATACATCGTTCAACACTACACTACTGCGACTCTCACCCATTTAAATGTTTCATCCAAGATTGATAAACTCTCGACTTGACGCTTTGTCAAACCCACAAGCCATTCCTTGTTGTACAATGCTTTAGGTAATCCGTCCACTTCCATTCTGGATGTCTTTGGATTCCCAGATGAGCGTATTCGTTTCATCGGCTTTGAACCTTGAGGCGCAAAAATATCATCATCCACCATTCTTTGGTGATCGATAATATCCAATTCTCATTCGATCACATGGTGCCAAGTCATGTTCTTGACACGAAGAACTGTTTCGATATCGTTTTCGATGTTTCTCTCCTCCAAACTCATGCCACCTTCTCCTAACATCCTTACCAGTCGCTGAAGCCACTGCCAGGCCGGGAGGTCTTCCTTGTTCCCGTTGGTCTTGTACTTAACGAGGTGGTTAAGAACCGTAAATCTGCGAAGATATTTCTGAGAAGGCATCAGTACCTGAATAATATGAAGCTCTTGAACATACATTTTTTTGACATGTTGTCTGATGAGTCACTTTTAAAGCCTCATCCTTCTTCGTGATCAGCCTCTGTTCCACCTCTTCAGGAGTCTCCAATCCGCCCTTTGCTGTAACCTTTGGTTGTGCAGCCATCCAAACTGTATGCAGGTGCTTGTAGTGGTCTTGAAGAACCTCCCTAAAATATGCCTCTGATCTTCTGAATGGCCAGCTCTCTTGGTCACCCCTCCTTTGCAATTCTTTGAGGAGCAAGCTGATGACTTTATCATTCCAGGGATTTTGGGCCCACCTTTAAGATCAAAGGCGAGATGTTTGCAGTTGGGACCTGGGCCATCTTCATATTCGTATGCATAGACGTCCTCATGACTAGCTGGATCATGGAGCATGAAATCACTGTCTTGAGAAATGCTGAAAATGTCCTTGAAGAGACGTCGCACTTCTCCCTATACATCTCTGTAAGTCATAGCCTCCATACCATGTTTTGGCTTACCAAAAGAAAGTCTCTTTCATAGCTTTTCTCGGCTGCCTTCTCTTGCCGGAGTTCTTTTTCCTCTACCTTTTTCCTCCGGGGACTGTGCTTTTTGGTGAGTGGAAATTCTTTGTCGATTAGAACACGTCTCAGTGCGGCTTCTACACCTCTCACAATAGCATCTTCCATCATCATAGCGGGCTGTGCATTGTGTTGTGGAGGCGGTGGTACATCTTTGGACGAGTGTTGTTGAGGTACTTCCTCTCCGTCAACCTACTACTATGTAAGTTTAAATCACAGTCAATGGCATCGGGTGCTCACCTCCGATGCTACCGATACAAGGCGAACTCTGTGCGATATTCCCTGAGTTCTCTTTATTCTCTTAATTGCATCCAAGCACGAGGTACCTGGCCATGGTTTTGCACACGGAGATGGTTGTCCTGCATCTCCCGGTACAGTGGGGATGTTCATATCCACATCCTCATTCTGAGACCTGTAACACCTGGAAAATCTTTGTTCCATCTTGGCCAGCTCGCTCTCTTTTTCTGCCTGGTAAGTATTTCAGCATGTTTTCATTTATATACGAAACATGTTCTCACCTTTAGCTTCAGCACTTCTTACTGAAACCTTTGGTCCATCTCGGCGAGTATCGCACTCTCGCGCTCTCGAAGCTGTTTATTGTTATCACACCATTTTCCTGTCGGATTATCCGCCTCACCTCTTCGTTTGTCTTTCTCTTCAACTCTTCCTCATGCTGGGCTAGTTTTTCACACAGCTCTGCTTCTCGCTGCACCTGTTCTTGTGCCAACTATCCATTGTTATCAGCTGTTTTCCTGTCAAATCATTCACCTTACCTCTTCATTTGTCCTTCTCTTCAACTCTTCCTCGCGTTGGACCAGCTTTTCACCCAGCTCTGCTTCTTGTCATATTTGTTCTTGTGTCAAGTGGTCGTGAGCATCCTTGTGGATTTTTTCCATGGCAGCCTCTATTTCTTCGTGATTAGCCTGGCCAATTATGTGCTGAGTCTCTCTAATATGTTATTCAAGTTTCTGCTGCTGCTGGACATGGGTCCTCTGTCATAGTCATCAGCGTACGTCTGGTAGTCACATGCTGCAGCAGGACTTACTTCGATTTCTTCCTGGGCCTTTGCTAGTTGCTCTTGCCGTTCTCTCAGAGTTGTTTCCCATTGCTGTTTCATCTCATTCATGTTTTGCTCATGTTCAATTTTTTGTTTTTCCACTTGCTACAGCGGCCACGTGTCAGATATTGACGATGTCCAGTGAAATACTACGAACTGTTTGCATATTGTGAATCAGTTCCTTCTGACTGTACACAGTTTCACGTAGTGTCTCTGAGTAGTCGACTTCTTTGATGCGACGCTTGTTGGGCAGCACCTGATCAAACCAAGTCTAACATCATTAATCTTGGATCATGCTACCTAGACGTACCGAATCGGCGACTCGCTTTTCCCTCTTGTCGGGCAGAGCGGTCCTTGTTGGGGGCTGGCTTGTTGCATCGTCCAAGTCCATTGCGGAGGCCTCTTGCAATACCTAGAACAGACACTGAGCCCGGCATGATTCATTGATCGCTTGATGAATGTGGATGTACTACATATTTTGGTGTGTCAAACTGGGATCTGGTCTGACTCTCGGTGTCTTCCATATCGTCGTCATCAAATAGGTCCATATCGCTGGCTGTTTGTATGTTTTCCTGCTCAATGTGAACATGGACATGGTGCTGTGTTTCTGACATGGTAATGGGAGTCAGCATCATCAATGTTTAAATTTTGGGCTCGGCTTGGATCCTACTTATGCATGTTTACCATTATTGTGTTTAGATTTTTCGGTCACTAGTGTTTCACCCTGACGACGACATCGCACTATCCTTTTTCAGGCCCTTGAGCGCTATCATTTCGGGTGCTCCATGTCGTAAGTACAAAACTGAGGACACAAAAGAGTCCAAAAAGCCTAGGCATACAAATGATCGTAAGATTACATTTATTGTTCTGGTCCCTGCATTCTGCGAAACAAATAAAGACAATAGATATGGTGATCGATTCTTTGGGATGCTCTGTACTCTGCGCGGTTCAAAGGTAACCACTAAAAAACTACTATAAGATCGCCCACTTTAAAGCCATTCCTTGTCCTCAGTGCTGGTCGCCTAGACTCATCATCTAATTTTTATTTGTCATTCCTGTGCAATGGTCAACACTCGCATATATATCTTCCCCACATCATCCGTAAGCTATAATCTCGCTTCTCTTGATTTTTGCTGACCACTACAAAGACTACCGAACTTCATTTGCGGTGTAGGCTGTATTCTTCATCCTGGAGTAAACCTCGCCAGGTCACCATGTTGACACGGTGCTCTGATCGCTTGCACAGTGGAAAACACTTTCCTGTTCCCGAGAGCCTCCTGGATTGTGCAACTGTGCAGCCTTATGTGCATAACTGTCTTGTCACCCTGCATGAAGGAAGACACATATATCAGTTTTGTGTTTTTTTCAAGTGGCACTGCCATTTAAGAACCAATCCGCTTCTCAGCAGCATTGACCACATATTCCGAGGTGATGCAGTTGTTATGAGGATTGGTGCCAGCGCTGGCTCTGTTGTGAACATGCGAGGCAGGGACAATTCACTTGCAGACTTCATCATGCATCAGTAAGCATCATCACTGGAAAGTGATTCCAGTCCTCATTGATGAATTCATTAGGTTTATACGAAGTATTAATCATCACCCTCAAGCGAAGCTCCCACGTACTCTCACCGTCGTGAAGCCCTTGAGTCCTCGGGTAAACCACCGGTTGGCATCCAGGATCGTCAGCAGCGAGGTAGTTTGATACAAAGTAATATATAATGATCTGTATTCAATACATTATGAAGTTCGCCGTGAAGGCGCCGTTCTTGTCACAAGCATTGTGAACGCTAGTACAAAGAATAAACTTGATATCAGGCAAGACTTTGTCGAAACTTTAAATGAGACTTACATAAGGTTAAGGCCTTTGCCATTCTGTTATAACTCATGTATCTTCATTGGGAGCAATGATCCCTAGTAATTCAAGTAAACATAGTACATCGTAGTACATGGGGTATAGTGTGAATCTATTTTACTGTAGATTAGATCAATATAGTTATATTACCCCACTTTCAATGCATTTTCTTGCTCTTGGACTTGCCCACGACCATCCTTGCTTTCTTCTGCCTAGCACGACCTGATGTATATTTCAAACACATCATGATCATATCATTCAGCGGCCAAAAGTCCCTGTAGTTTTCTAAGTCCGGGAAAGCATCGACAGCCTGACAAATAATAAATTCTCGGACAATTGCCATCTGTGGTCTACTTACTTTGTCGCGTACAACTTTCAGGAGCGCATAGTCTTGGGAAGAAGCACACTTGGTCGTATCGAGATGTTCTTCAATGAGGTTGTGCATAAATTTCTTGTGCTTATGAGCAAATAGCACGTTGTGATGAGAGCACGTCACTCACCTTGAACTTAGCATATGCCTTTTGGTTCCAGTCTAAAGCCTCGTTAAGTGTGTATCCTCCACGCCCTGGATGACCTGGTTCACCAGGGGGCTTTGGTATCTTTGAATCGTCCGATAGACTCTCAGTCGAAGTTGAGGAGCCACTGTCCGACATTGAATCTAATGAACTCAAAGAATCCGAGGGCATGGGCCTGGGCGTCCGAGAATTGGAACGTGAGCGCTCGAACGAAACTCTCTTCAAGTATGGCGAGGGGTCATTTTTGAATGGCCGTGCTGCAAGTTTGGACTCTGGCACCAGCGTGCCCTTGAGTTGCATAGGAGGATCGATGGCACTGATTTTGGAAGGAAGAATCTCGTCAGCAACGAGCATAGTTGAGCGGTGGGCACTGTCAAATAGTTCAAGTTGGTCCGTGAGCATAGGAGGGAAGGGAGGTGGAGCGCCAGGCTCTTGATCATAAAAGGAGAGACAGTGTTGATTTTGTTGGGCATGTCGTGGTTTTGGTTACAGCGACGTGAGCGGGGCGACGAGAGCGGGTCAAGATACTGGGTATGAACTGTAATAACCTCTAAGACATTTATGACCAACCTAATGACACCATTCAACATAATCTACTAGAGATTAAACAATAAACAATAAACAATAAAGACAGTCAACAAAAGAGTGGCTTAAGGGGATCGAACAAATAAGTCCTGAATAGCAGAAACGTTACGTAAAGTGATATATTACTTCACTTACAAAAGAATGAACACAAAAGTCGGGAACCAACAAATGGCTAGGAAATCGCCATAGAATCAACAAAAAAAGTTCCTATTATAAGTAGGCTGTGAGCAGGTGAACTGGCGACTACAATCAGATCGTATATGCAACAATGTCCTTTTTTACCTCGTCACTCTTCGCGAAAGCAAAGCGACACTTCCGACATCAAACCCGCTTTTCTACCTACGGCGGGTCCATTCACGCCCTCGCAATATCTAATGATGGTCAGGCTCTTGCATGTGGTGGTAACTTGATACGCACTTTGTTATGTGAGGCTGCTAACAGACGGGCAGGAACCGAGGGCATTAAACTCTGGGATATCAAATCTCGGAAAGAACTTACATGCTCAACTCATCACCATGAGTCCCGTGGGACGATCAGCTGCGCTGTCTGGATCACAACAAGACAGGGCATGGCAGCAACCCTTTGTTATGGGACTGGGCTGGGTTATATTGTATTTTTACGTCGTAGCCATATAGATGTAAGAGGGTCCTGGTATCATTGTCGAACCTTCAGCTAACATTCGATAGATGCAGTTTCAGGAGACCTGTGCTAGGAGGCTTGGATCGGGCTTCGAACTTACTTGCATGGTATGGGATTCGACGTCCTTCGAAGGGAATACCCGGATTGCAGTGGGAACAAGGGACAAAATAATTCAAGTCCTCGTTCTGAACCCAAATTCACAGCTGCAGGCTGTTTTTTCAGTGCGACTCGACAACACAGTGCCAAAGTCCATAGCATTTGCAGATAACGGATGTGTATATGTCTTCGGACTATACAACGGAAACTTTATCAAGCTGAGAGGTGATGACGGCGCAGTGCTAAAGGAATACAGCTGCCAATCGGTCATGTAAGAGTCCAGGGCACATTATCGACAGATGTATTACTGACCTTCTTTCAGCGGACATGCGGCAGTGAACCAGAAGAGGGGCGTGTTCGTAGTGGACAATGCTACCAACGGTTTTACTTTATATCGACTTGAAGGCGACGAGGAACCAGTTCGAACATTTGTGACTGCTGTTCCGAATGTGTCCGTCCCCAAGCAGGTGGCATTTGGGGCAGAAGGAAGATTAGTCATCGGGGGGAGCGACCATGGATCAGTGTATGTATTTGAGAGGAAATCGGGGAAGGTATTCGAGACTCTTCACCACTCCAATACAGGCTTGGTACAGACAATAGCAGTAGGTGTCAGATTCAAATGGTGGGATGGGTACTGATTGTTTTCCCAAGACGCGTGATGTTGACGGGTGCTGTATAGTCGCCAGTGCTTCACCAGCGCTAGGCCGCAGAAAGGCTACAATCAACTTATGGCTCTATGACTACGGCGTAGTAAAGGGAACTCTGACCTCTGAACAATCCTGGTCTATGTCGTGTGTGATTGCGTATGTGTTCAAGATCCTGGTTCATTTTGGGGCCTTGGCGGTTATCATCTGTTTTTTGATGACAAATTACTTTGTAAGTCAAACAGTAGCTCAGCAGCAGTCGTCAATTCATACCTTCACAGGACACAGTAGCAACGTGGTCAGGAGACCTCGCCCAGCGCATGACAACGACTCGAGTGTTCACCTTTTCGGATAAAAACTTTCGCAGTGCTGAGGTATTCAACGAAGTACCAGAAGCCCGTCAGGAAGTGGTCGAACAGAACAACATGTTGATGTTACGTGAACTGGCAGGAAAACTTATCCAAGTCGTTCAAGAAGCTATGAAAGATGGAGATATAGGTGAGGATATTCGTGAGACGACACGATACGAGATTTCCGCAGAAGCCAAAAGGGTATTTTTTTGATTGCGATGAAAGAGCAAACGGTATCAGAATATGACAGGATTCAAGGAAAGAAGTCTCTCACTTGTGATGTAGAAATTGCAAAAATGTTGTAGCGTAGTAGCATATCAATGTCGTCTCGTGTTTGTTGTAAACCCCTCCACGTGTAACGTGGAGGGATGGGTGGAGATCAGAGAGAATCACCTGAAGGGTGAAATAGCATGCGATGGGCAGAATAATCCGCGAGATAGTGAATGAGGATGACCCAAGACCAGAAAGAATCGCCTGACGGGCGAAATGGCACGGGGTGGGCGACATAATCTGCAAGATAATAACAGGGCGAAGATATGGTTTCATATCAGAAAGAATCGCTTGATGGATGGAAGATTAGATCACCTGACGGGTGAAATGACATGGAGTAGGCGACATAATCCGCCAGATAACGGAATGAGTGTAGAAATAGCCGAAGACCAGAAAGAATCGCCTGGCGGGCGAAATGGCAAGGGGTGGGCGAAGGAATGTCCCAAGATCCGAAAGAATTGCCTTGCGGGTGGCATGGGCACTGAGCGGCACAGCGCTTTGTGATTAGTGGGAGGAGTGGGCGATGGAAGAAAGCATGCAACAGTACAAACCATTGCATGCGACAGGCCGAGATAGAGAGAACACAGCAACAGTACAGACCGTTGCAGGATCGAGAGAACGCGGAGAGCAATAGTTGCGCGCAGCCAATAACGCCAGAACAGGCGCCTAGTATACGCCGGACAGAGGTAGTCGCGTAGAACACGCCAACTGCCTAGCAGTACAGACCGCTAGGTGATGAGAGTCCGAGTCAAAGAGAAGAGAAGAGAAGAGAAGACTCAGCAATGCTGAGCCCTAGTAATATAGATGGTACTAGGAGTATGGGTTGACTGAGAGTTTGAGTCAGTTGAGTTTGCTTTGCATGTGACTTTGTTTGCGAATGTTTGTACTTTCTGACGAATTGATTCAGCCCTTACACTTACTGGTATCTATATCTATACTATACTTAGCTTATACCTCGAGCCTCAACCTCTGCCTGGCGCAACGGTCTGTACTGTCACAGTCATCCCTCATCCTCTCATCCTCCTTCGACACAATGGTGGATTTCGACTTCGACTTCGACTTGTGACACGACAGTCTGTACTGTCGCGTTTCTGGACTTCGACTGGTGGATTCGACGGCCTGTACTACTGTCTCCGTGTGCATCCCTTATCCTCCCTCCTCCAACACGACAGTCTGTACTGTCGTGTTGTCCGCTGGACTTGGACCTGCTGATGCAACTGGTCTATACTGTTGTTGTGTCTATCCTTTGTTCTCTCCTCCGATACTGACGGTCTGTACTAGTTTGAGACATGGGTTGGTATGTATTCACATCAATCACGTCACTATCCTGACTCAATCTTCTCAGTATGTCTTCTTATAGTGTCTCCATGTTAATTATCTATGTTTAGTCACAGTTGTATCTGGGTGGCATCCATGTAGGTAGGCACCTTGTACTTTGTCGCTACCGTTTCTTATTAAAATAAGATCGTGTTGTTCTCTGTTGTTCGTACTCTCCTGATCGTTGTCATAAGTTATGTTTATTTTCCCTTGTTTCTCTCAATTTAAATAGTCATTTCAGGCTCTGTCTGTCTGCAAG